TTAGTCCTCCCTGAGATTAATCATAACTCGTGTGCAAATTAGTATATTTAATTTTAATAAAATGTGGTGTTTTAGTTAACTACATTTAAGGAAACATTTATTAAAATAACATAACAATCTCTCAAAAATAAAATAAAATATTCCAAATAAAGACACAGTTTGTGTTGCTGCTCTGCTGTCAGGAAAAACTAGTAGATTGCCAAATAATCGATGCATTTCGTCTGTTGTTTGATATATTTGAGCTGTATCGTGCTGATTGATAAATTATTGAATTTTGAGTATGTAGAAATACTCTATTTATTTGTGTCATGGGGTAAGGTTATTATGAAACAACTAATCTGTTGTGTTTTTCTGTTATTGATTATTCCTTCCTAAAATCAATCCTTTTTTTATGAAATCCAATGTTAAAAGATATCTCTTTATAGGATATGTTAAGTTAATTGCATTATAAACCGCACAAACACAATCAAATAACCTAAATAATAAAATAAGAATTAAACACAGTTTGAGTTGTGCGCATGCGTACAGGGTAGCTCATGATCCCGTCTCTTCATCGCGTTGCACGCTGGGATCCTTCAGTCACTGTTTCTCTGTCATGGCGGCCCGTGTCCCTGCAGCACTGTGTCCGCACCGCTGAGGCTCTCCTCCGGCCCCCTGGCCCTCAGAGCCGCGGTGGTCCCGGCAGCTCCTCTCCACCGAGCACTCTCCTTCTACTCGGCCGACCGGAGGACGCGGTGTGTGAACCGGGTGAGTCTCCGGTAACATTGAGCCGTCGGGGCCTAAACAGCGGTGACCTACCGACGCCTTTCAAATATGTCAGGCTAACCCGGCGCGCTAAAAGTTCTTAATGCAATGCAAGTAGTTTAATATACCACTTATTACATATGTCTGCGGGACATCCTTCCTGAAGTCCACTGAATATGAACACGTTTATTTTTGTTTGGCACAACAGCCATATTCTGCTGTTGCGCAGCTAGCTTGTTAGCTAATGGACACATTTGTGTTGTTGTCCCTGTTTCACCTTCAATTTACAGACATGAGGAGACTTGAAGTTAAACCTAATCGCCTTTTAACGCTACACAGCTAGTTGTAGTTATATGGTTAATAGATACTCGGGCGTGTCAGATAAACTAAGTGCTTGGATTTGTATTTTTGTGCTGTGTGTGATGTTAGCTTGATCAATTACTGTTTTCTGAAGTGTGGGACGCATGATGACTTATTTTATGATCCTTTAATGTGTGTTGTCCACAACTAAGACAGTTGTGTTCGTATAGCACATTTCATTCATTCAGTCTATCAACCTTTATAACAGTCGGGGATAACCTATCAAATACTACACATAATACAGGATTCATTTGAAATGTAAATGCATGATGAGTTAATGGCCTACAGAGAATATACATTAGTGTCATATTGAGACAGTTATGCTCATGTCTCAGCTTTGAGCACTAAAGCATATCCCCTCAAATCATTTAGCCTGTAACAAAACATTTCTTATAAAAATGTGATGCTCACATCCCTCCTCTTCAGTAATATTCTCTAAGCATATTAAGTGATATGCTAATTTAAGTCTCTTAATTATAGTTTGGCACGTGTGCACTATTGAGTGTTGTACATAAAGAAAAGGGATACAAATAACAAATAACCACCCGTTACCTTAATAGTGCTGTGTCTATTTAACAAGCGCTTTTTGGCTAGAGCCTGCCATCATTTTGTGCCAGTAACATTTAGACACAGATTGTAAGTGAGCATAAACAGCTGTAAACTAATTCAGTAGCTTGTTTCTTTGTCCTCTGTCCATGACCTTCATCCAACCTATCGTCTCTGCTCCTGACGCCTCTTCTTCCTCCTCAGTTCCCCTCATTGGACGTGTTGTGCCGACAGTATGGTCATCTGCCCCCCCTCACCCTAGAAAGCATCGAAGAACGCGTCCTGTACGTCCTGAAGCTCTACGACAAGATCAACCCCGAGAAGGTAAGGGACAAAACATCAAGTCTGAAAACATTGTCAAAAATGTCCATTACAAAATGGCGTAGTGATTCTCCAGCTATTTTATTTTATATATCCATGATTCATATCCAGACCATAAACTGAACATGGCTTGAGATACAAAGCGATTGTGAGACTTTAATGTCTGACTGTCGCTCCTCAGCTGCAGGCCACCTCCCACTTCATGAAAGACCTGGGGCTAGACAGTTTGGACCAGGTGGAGATCATCATGGCCATGGAGGACGAGTTCGGTGAGTCAGCGTGCCGTGAAATCACACAAAACTACAACTAACCCTCGTTAACACAAGCTGAAGATTCAAAGGTTGTATTGTCATATGTACAAAGCTACGGTGTAGAAATGGCAATACAATTCTTCTGACCTGAGCTCCTCCAACAATGCAGCATATATAATAAAATACAAAAAGAAAAATAGTGCAAAAAGTCTATTTACATGTCAATGGAATATGTACAAGAACAGAATATGAAATTAAATAATGTAAATTAAATGCGGTTTAGTGTTAATTATTTATATAAATTAGTATATTAAAGAGATTTTCACATTTTGTTCTACGACAGTAAATACCCCACTCATTTAATGTCCGAAGCTTCTACTAAACGCTCGATTAATAAACGTCATCACGCGGAACATTAGCCGCCTTTAGCTTAGCCGTCTTCAGCTAGCTGGCTGATGTATTTAGCCTCATCTTTGAACAGAAAAACACATTTTAATTAGTTTCCGTCGGTTTTTCCTGCAGGCTTTGAGATCCCTGACGGAGAAGCAGAGAAGCTGATGACTCCTGACGAGATTGTACAGTACATCGCAGACAAGAAGGACATTTACGAATAACTGTTCTCTAGTTCACTGCAGAGGTACGTTTCCTGTCTCTTCACCATATATTCATTCTGGCGTCATTGTGTACTCACTCTTTGCTGTTTTCTTCCACACAGGTTGACCCTAGCAAGACCCCCCCCCCCCCCCACACAGGAAGTCCGCTTCCTCTCGCTCTTCTGTCCGTTGCGGCAGCGTCAGCTGCCGTGTCTCGTGTTTTACTGTATTTAAATAAACATGTACTTTCGAAGCTTGGAGATAAACAAAATTACATCAGTTTTGATTTTTTTCTTCCAGCTCCATAATGTGGTGTATAATTTCTCTTGAATAGATTAATAAATACACCTGATGTATAGATCTGCACGTCTCTGCTGTCATATTCATTCACATATTTCAGAAGCATGAGTTAATATCAAAATGTTGAAGATGCCGGGTGGTATACTTTAAAGGTCCCATGCCATGCTTTTCCGGTTATTACTATTATTATGCATGTAAACGGTCTGCAAAGAGCCTCGCAGATTGGGGTGCTGCAGCCCCCTCAGCACCCCCCCTTCCCGCGTCCATTCGCCATGTCTCGCAGACCCATGCAGCATTCTCATCTGTGTGTCCTTACTGGTGTCATTTTCTGGTTGCTAACACCATTGTAACAATCACTGATGTAACGGTGGTGGACTCATCAGAACAGAGTGGGCGAGCTGACCCAGTGGGAGGAGGGGGGGGGGGGGGCAGGAGCTCCAACAAGCCGTTTAGGACAGAGTGAATATTATTATACATAATACACAGATGCTGTATGAGAAACCAATGTGAGTTTGGAAAATTGCACAATATAAATCTATTCTAGTAGACCTCAAATAAATTATGATCAGTAGAAATGGCCATGACATGACCTTTAAGATAAGCTGAGTTTGAAGGTCACAACATCTCAACGTATAATTTATTCCTTTCAACATTTGCCACCTTAGATGTTACATTTTAAAAGGCTATCAGTATTTTAATTTGTTAATAAAATGACTACCTTTCATTTCATTTGTCCCAAAACGGTACAAATAAACTCGTCTAAAGTGCTATATTTAGGTACCATTTTAGAGGTACACTAAGACAACTGGTCAATAGAGTATTTATCAGTGTTTATTATTCAAGCCGTAGTTTTTGGGAACCATTGGACAAAAATGACCGATTAGGTAAATTGAACCATGTCATGCGGTGGTTACCAACCTTTGGGTTACGATTAAGGTGCCAATTAGGTATAATTGGAAAAATACATTTTAAGTTTCTGAAAATATCAGATTTTTTTTTATCTATGATGCAATATTAGTTCAAAATGCTGTTTTTACACAAACTTCCAGCCATAAAATTAGAATACCCAGTTTTAAACACCTGTCATTCGTAAATAGTACATTATGACATAATAAATATTGTTGAATATAAGGATGTCAAATATTGCAACTGAAACATGTTAACCCATTACATTTAGCTTTTTGTCTAATTGAGGATTCTTAAAAAATGTGTTTGACATCAGTTTAATTTGTTTTTATATTAATTGTAAAAAAACTGCAACCGTTTAAAAAACACTTTTGTCACAGTGAATAAAAACTGCAAACTTGGGTTCTCTAAATTAAGTAAAGACATCCCATAATTGGATACAAGCGGCCGAGATGGGTTTTCTCCGCAGGGTGGCTGGTGTCTCCCTTAGGGATAAGGTGAGAAGTTCGGTCATCAGGGAGGGACTCGGAGTTGAGCCGCTCCTCCTTCGCGTCGAAAGGAGCCAGTTGAGGTGGTTCGGGCACCTAGTTAGGATGCCACCTGGGCACCTCCCTATGGAGGTGTTCTAGGCACGTCCAGCTGGGAAGAGACCAAGGGGTAGACCTAGGACCAGGTGGAGGGATTATATCTCTTCGCTGGCCTGGGAGCGCCTTGGGATCCCCCAGTCAGAGCTGGTTGATGTCGCCAGGGGAAAAGAAAGTTTGGGGCTCTCTGCTGGAACTGCTACCCCCGCGACCCGACCACGGATAAGCGGGAGAAGATGGATGGATGGATGGATCCCATAATTGACACAGCTACGCAAAAAACCATGTGAGGAATATCTCAGAAGCATTAAGTGATAACACATTTGATTTGAATGGCTGTATGGATATACAGTGTATGATGAAGACGAGGAGAAATGACGAGTCCAGGAGAAAAGTGCCGAGTCATTGTTAGTCTTTTATTGAGGGTTGTACCCAAGTTTTACAGCTTTGTATGACGGCTGCAGGAGCCAGAGGGTTACAAACAGTAATCAGTATGAGTACAGCCAACAGAAGACCTACTACTCACTACACCTTAGTACAGATTCTCTTAAGAGCACTAAAATCCAGAAAAAAATAATACAGAACAAACCAAGCAACAAAGGAAGGAGAATAAAAAGATTAAATGAAACCAAACAAAGACAGCATCAGAGGAGACATTCATTATTAGAGCACACTGGAGTTGGTTTTCTATACCTTGTAATATCAGGCGACTTCGTTTTGTCAATTTTATACCCATACAAATAAAGATTGTCCTTCAAAAAGTGCAGTTTCCCCCGAAGTTTAAGATAAAATCTTTTTGATGACCCGAGGAAGACATTTGAAAATAAAAAGGTACTTCCTGTTTTTGTTTGTAGAGAGGAAGACGTCCCCTCGTTGATTATAGACATTTATATTCTCATATATATATATATTATATATAGTTTCAACAGTCTCCCAAAGCAATGTGCATAATAGGTTTTACAGGTGATCCAACTACACACTGGATTGATAGAATCTCTATAAAAAACATTGTAGTTGTGTAAAATTTGCAGTTTTCCACCGGCCTCCGCCTCCTCGGCTTATCGAGGAGACGAGCTGTGAAAATAAAGAAATGGACTTTTGCAAATCTTAAACCTGTCCTCCTCTCCTGCTACAACTGGCCCGACGGTTTGCTAGGTAATAAAGGTTTTTTCAGTTTTATTATTATTAGTAGTAGTAGTACGATTCAACGATGGCACGACAAGAGGAATATTATTGGGAATCCCTTCTGAACTGTTTTTAAAAAAGTTGTGGGATTTTTTTTTTGTAGGTTTTTTTTATTTTTAAAGAAAGCAAAAAACCCAAGGTGGACATGGAAGCCTGGGTTCAACACTCCACTGCATAGTCTCTCTGAGCGCCCCCCTCCTCTGTATGGTGAACCTCCCCCCACCCCGATAACTCCCCCCCCCCCTCCCACCCCACATCTTTGTGCTGGTTAGACTAAAGCTTTTCAGGGTTTTTGTTTGTGTCTAAATGTAAAATGACGAACAGCAGATTCTCACAGTTTGTGTTTTTCTTTTTTGCGTCAACAAAAATAGCCTTTTGATCGACAGTAGGAGCCGTTGGGTGTGTTATAATATATAATATAGCATTTGCTCACAGGATAGTTAAGTCAAGAGAAAAACAGAGTCACATTATTTTTTTCTTAAACATTAAAAAGTAGTATAGTATCACCAGCCAGCTTCCCTCCTTTCCTACACCCTCCCTCATTCCTTTCCTTCTTCCCTCCCCTCGTCTGGTCTGAAAGCTGCTTGGCAGCCCTGGGGATTGTACATTGCTCGTGGTGGTTTTCCTCACATCATCCTTTTGCAAATGATTTCTTCAAGCATTTAACATTGTCCAGCTTTTTCTTTTTTTTTAAATACACAAACACACACTTCTTATACAACACGCAAAAAAAAGAGAGAATAAATCAAATCAATCCCTTTCCTTCCCTCTCACCCTCCCTCCTCGATTTGGCATGATAATGTGTTCGAACATACACAGTTTCTGTACTTGACTGGGTTTTTGCATCTCCCCACACACTCACACTAACAGTAGATTCGACGAGACGGAAACAGAGCGAGATTAAGCCGGAGACCAAAACAGTAACATTAATGAGGCGTTTTACAGACGTTGCTTGTCCCTTCTCTAACAGCAGAGCGATGCGGCCTCCTGCTCCTGATCCGAGGTCAGTTTAAGTCCCATTATTGGTTAAGGTAAGGATACTGACGAGGGACAGAACTACTCCCGGTATCAGCGCTCGGAGAAATAGCATTGCCAAAAATCAGAATGAACGAAGTGTAAAATATATGCGGAAAGTAAATAAATAGACTGCTTGGAGTTCACTTGCCCCCGGACTTCCTGTCAGTTCTCGTTTTGCATTTCCTCTCCTGTAGTTAAGCTTAGGAGTCGGAGAGGAAGAGCTGATCCTGGGTCAGCCAGTGAAAAGGCAAGTATAACCCCGTGTCCCTGATAAAAACAACAAAGCCAGGATGAACCAGCCATTCAGAAGTCTCATTCCTGTTCCCAAGTTGCTACGGGCCAATAAGAACCCTCGATTCAGTCAAGCTCGAGAAAAGAGCGTCTCCACGACAAAGGTTGTCGTAACAACATGGGGCGTGGTCAAGACCAGTTGCCAAATACTGATTTAGATACATAAACAAAAAGCAAAGCTTGATTTACTTGATATTTTCCATGTTTGAGGCTGATCAGGTACCGGGGAAGGCAGATCGAGTCTCGGCAAAGTACATTTTATTTTTTTCAAAACCGTTTTCAGCTACATTCAGGCTCGGTCCAGGCGGCGTGGCGAGCCAGCCCGGCGAACAGTGAGAGGTAAACCTGGAGAGGACGACCAAGCCCCTCTCTTGCTCCCTCACTGGGGGCCAACAAAGCACCATCTTCTCTAGTCACACACACTCACACAAACACACACACACACACACATTACCCTGTCACAATACTCGGACGCATCTTCGCCCTCAGACAGACCTGATAAACAAATACGCCCCCCATCTCGGCTTTGCTCTCCGCTCGCTCGGCCTTTTCCTCTAATCCACCCAAGTGCAAAATCCAAGGCTCCTCAGTTCAATTTGTCAAATTAAGTTAACTCAAAGAATAACAAATATGGTTCAGATGTTCCACTTGACAGACAAACACAAAAAAGATATATATGTATAGTTTAAGCAAAGAGATTCTGGAATAAGTAAACTAATCTTTTGTATGATTGAATTATTTGGTAGAGAGCAGTTCAATACTGGCACACACCACGGTCACATCTGGCTAATACTCGAGGTTCTGTCTCACTACGCAAGCTTTGAAGTTGTTAAAGATTCACGACTTAACTTAAAAAAACACAACTTAAGCCAACGTTTACTAGTACTTCTGAAATCAAAACCTATAGAGGGGACACGCGCACACAGGCTTTAACACAGAGCAATTACACGATGAAGAAATTAAGGTCCATGGCTTCGCTAATGCTGACTTCTTTCGCGCACTCTCTGAAGCTTTTTGATTTCCCCCGATAATTGTGCATCATAGTTACTAAACAATCACTGGTAGATAGGTACATCTATTATTCACACGTGTATTTAGTCGACAAACACCACTGGTGGATTTACATTCACGCCGCTCTCGCAACACGACCCTCCGATAGGACTAACATCTGCCGGTTCAGAGCCTTGTAACACACATTCACACACACTCGCACACAATTCAGGAACTTCAGATGAGTACCCCCCCCCCCCCCCTCCCCAACCCCAAAGGAAGAAAAAAACAGTACAACAATACAATCATATTCTATTTGTAAACAGGTAGAAGCCACTTGACTTGTTGTTGCATCTTCGGACACAATTAGGATCAAGGCAATGAAATGTGGACGACTTTTGCACTGTTAAAATATTATCTTCAACCAAACAAAATGATTTTTTTAAGCTTTTTCTTCTTTCCTTTTTTCAAAAACACCATTTGTGGCAATGAGAGCGATTAAAAAACAAAAAAGCAAGATATAGTTTGCATTTTTGTTGTACTTAATGAAACATTTAAAACATTTTGTGAGAAAAAAAAACAAAAAACGCCTCTCAGTAGGCCGTGTGAGAGGCTACAGTATGCATAGATACAGATTCGCCTTTCTCTTGGTTTAGAAGTCTGACAAGACCGAGCATTTTCCACTGACAGTCACACAATCACACAATAAACACTCCCCACTTTTGATTTTTAACATCAGTGGACGAGTGGAGGAGAGAGGGAGCATTGTCTACAGCCCGTCCTCCACCCCCCCCCACATCAGGACCCCCCGTCCCTCAAGACAGCATATTGAAAGCAGTGTGTTGAGCTTCTCCAGCTTAAAGCAGTTATTTGGCAGAGAAAATAAAACGTACAGACCTTTACATAGTTTCAGTGCTAGAAGTTGGATTTTCCTTTCCTACAAGGAGTAGTAGTTTCTTTTTTTAATTCACCTACAAGGGGGGGAAACTGGCTTGATTTCCTGAGAACCATTGCTGGTTATTTAGCAGACAAAGAGGAATAGTTCAAATAACCAACGCCATGGCCAAAAACACTGATCCGAATTCCCAGAGTTACAAAGCATCGTCTTCATCCTCAAGAGTTTTTACTTTTTTTGTAGCTTTTTTTCATTTTTTCTCTCACTATTTTCTATTTTTCCATCTTCTCTTTAAAATGAAGAATGAACACACGTTCCGCCTCCTAAGTCTTGTAAACAAGAGGTTGCAGTGTGGCACCTCCAAAACATTGAAAGCCTATTCTGAAAGTGCTGTTTCCCCCCTGCCCACTAGGGGGCTAGTGGGAGGGCTTGCTAGATAGGCCCCGCCCCCTTACACTGGGTGGGCGGGGCTTGCTAGTCCCAGCTGCGGCTACAGTCCTTTGCACTGCAGAGCTCAACGTTCTTTAGTTTTAAAACAAAATTGGTGCAATACTTTTTAATGTCACTTTTACTATCACCAGATAATCCTCCTAAGTCAGCTTTTATTCTTCTTTAACTATCTGTTGATCTTGAACTCCACGACAACGCAGTAAGGTAGGCGTGCCAAGGCAGAGAGGAGCGCACACATACTCATTCGCACACACACACACAAAGTACTTCCGCGCACATATGTGCACGTGCACGCGCATACGGTAAGGACCTCAATGAGTAAACAGCTACACTGGAAAAACGGGCTGCTCCCTCTATATTGCAGATTATATATACTGAGAAAAAACCACATTCAGTGCAAAGTTAAAAAGCTCATACTCCAACATTGTCAGCAAACAAAAAAAAGAAAACGTTAAAAATGAAAATAATTGGAATTCAAATAAACATGACGAATGAAACAAAAAATATATATATAATAATGAGCTCGATTGAAGCTTTTTTCGGTCTGAAAGAGCACTACCTGGAAGCAAATATCCATCCGTTCACATTATAGAATTGGCCTGCATGATTCAAGTATTCCGACTGATATGTTTTTGGGCTAAAACAAAGTGGACATATGTGCAGAGAGAGAAACGTAACTTGTTTTCCACAGGGGAGACCCCGCTTTGTTGTATTTCTTGTAAGTGAAAAAGAGTCCGACTAGTGCCATTGCTTTTTTTTTTAACTACTTTTTTTTTTTTTTTCTTCTGCTGATTATTGATTATTCTCTACTGACCCTTCCCACAGCCTGTTTTGATTGGCAGGCGGTTCACATGGAGTCCCCTCCCCCTGACAGGTGATCCACTGGGAGGAAGGAGCTGATTGGAGAAGGGCTGCTGATCCTCCCCCCCTCGGTGCCGCTGGGATTCCCCCACAGGCTACTGGAATAGTTGGGCCCGCCCCAGAGGGAGGAGCTGTGGAGGTCGCTGCTGTTCCACTGGGTGGGCTCAGGAGCGCGGCTGGGGAACGGGTGAGACTGATCCATTCTGCTCTGAGAGGAGCCGATGGCTTGCCAGCTGGAGGAGGGAGTGGCCAGTGACTGCCCTTGTGCAAAGAAACGGTTGATTTCCTCCTCGCTGGCAAACTCGGCCAGAATGGTAGTGTTCCCCAAAACACACCTGCAGAGACAGAGAGGGTCAGTGAGAGGGTCAGTGAGAGTCAGTGAGAGGGTCAGTGAGAGGGTCAGTGAGAGGGTCAGTGAGAGGGTCAGTGAGAGGGTCAGTGAGAGGGTCAGTGAGAGGGTCAGTGAGAGGGTCAGTGAGAGGGTCAGTGAGAGGGTCAGTGAGAGGTCAGTGAGAGGGTCAGTGAGAGAGGTCAGTGAGAGGGTCAGTGAGAGGGTCAGTGAGAGGGTCAGTGAGAGGGTCAGTGAGAGAGTCAGTGAGAGGGTCAGTGAGAGGGTCAGTGAGAGAGTCAGTGAGAGAGTCAGTGAGAGGGTCAGTGAGAGGGTCAGTGAGAGGGTCAGTGAGAGAGTCAGTGAGAGGGTCAGTGAGAGGGTCAGTGAGAGGGTCAGTGAGAGGGTCAGTGAGAGGGTCAGTGAGAGGGTCAGTGAGAGGGTCAGTGAGAGAGTCAGTGAGAGGGTCAGTGAGAGGGTCAGTGAGAGGGTCAGTGAGAGAGTCAGTGAGAGGGTCAGTGAGAGGGTCAGTGAGAGGTCAGTGAGAGGGTCAGTGAGAGGGTCAGTGAGAGGGTCAGTGAGAGAGTCAGTGAGAGGGTCAGTGAGAGGGTCAGTGAGAGGGTCAGTGAGAGAGTCAGTGAGAGGGTCAGTGAGAGGGTCAGTGAGAGGGTCAGTGAGAGAGTCAGTGAGAGGGTCAGTGAGAGAGTCAGTGAGAGAGTCAGTGAGAGTGAGAGGGTCAGTGAGAGAGTCAGTGAGAGAGTCAGTGAGAGGGTCAGTGAGAGAGTCAGTGAGAGGAGTCAGTGAGAGGGTCAGTGAGAGGGTCAGTGAGAGAGTCAGTGAGAGGGTCATGAGAGAGTCAGTGAGAGAGGTCAGTGAGAGGGTCAGTGAGAGAGTCGTGAGAGGTCAGTGGAGAGGTCAGTGAGAGGGTCAGTGATAGAGTCAGTGAGAGGGTCAGTGAGAGAGGGTCAGTGAGAGAGTCAGTGAGAGAGTCAGTGGAGGGCAGTGAGAGAGTCAGTGAGAGGGGTCAGTGAGAGGGTCAGTGAGAGGGTCAAGTGAGAGGGTCAGTGATAGGGTCAGTGATAGGGTCAGTGATAGGGTCAGTGAGAGGGCCAGTGAGAGGGTCAGTGAGAGGGTCAGTGAGAGGGTCATTGAGAGAGTCAGTGGAGAGGGCAGTGAGAGAGTCAGTGAGAGAGGGTCGTGGAGAGGTCAGTGAGAGGGTCAGTGAGAGGGGGGTCAGTGAGAGGGTCAGTGAGAGGGTCGAGTGAGAGGGTCAGTGAGAGGGTCAGTGAGAGGGTCAGTGAGAGGGTCAGTGAGAGGGTCAGTGAGAGGGTCAGTGAGAGAGTCAGTGAGAGGGTCAGTGAGAGGGTCAGTGAGAGAGTCAGTGAGAGGGTCAGTGAGAGAGTCAGTGAGAGGGTCAGTGAGAGGGTCTGCTGATCCAAAACATCCTGTGGCTGGACTCCACATTCAAACTATCTTCCTGACTAAATCAGTGCGTTAATGCAGTTTTTTTTAAACACTGGAGAGCGTAGAAAATTAGGTTATAGAAGTTTTTGTTTAGTGTGTCACGTTCAACGTCCCATGCACACAAGATCGCAGGCTTAAAAACTAAGACGTCTACTGTCAATGCGTATCCATACTTCATTTTATTAGTTATCTACTCAGTCTCTCAAACAACTGTTAGTGATTGGCTTTGAAGAGATTGAAAAAAAAAAGGTCTGGTTAGTTTTCAAATTGTAATTATTGTTCAAATCCTGATAATCAGCTGATAATCTCAAACAGAAGGTTTGTATTCTCTACTTTCCTGTTTAGGTTGACTTAGTTCTAGTCCTGGGTCTAATACAGGATGTCACTCAGGCACAGAAATGGAAAAGTGGAGTGTGTGTGTGTGTGTGTGTGTGTGTGAGTCCTTACATGTGCAGGCTCTTCTGGGCCTTAGCGGCCTCATCCTTGGAGCTGTAGCAGACCACAGCGTTACCGTGTGGCAGGTTGAGGTGGAATGTGATCAGAGGGCCGTGCTGCATGCACAAAGTCCTCAGGGTAGAGCCGTCAATCTGAACGAAACACAAACAGAAGGGGACAGATGTTCATGAACTGCTGACAAATATAATTCACAAACATTTCCTCGATTAGGTCGGTGTGTTGAATGATCGGAACACAGCCATTTTGGGCGCCTCTGGATGTGATTTGTTTTTCTTTTAGACAATGTACCATGGCTCAGTTGTCTTTTACGAGTCGCCCTAGTTCTATCATCAGTGAAAAATACTAACAGAACTGTGCCACACATGTCCGTGTACGTACAAACTATGAGGTAGAATTTAATTAAAAAGTAACACAGATTAGCTGATACATTTATGTACTTGTGTGTACCTGAGGTGTGAGATTTTTCAGAACGAGCCATTGGGATCTCCCTGAGCTGCTGCTGCTGCTATCGCCCCAACTGGAACCTGCAGATAGGAGAGGAAGGGGACGGGTTAAAGGTGTAGACGTAAAACATGGAGGGAATGACCATGTGCCATACTAAGAGGAGCGGTACACCCTGCATCACCTAGACATAAGTGTTCTTATGTATGGTTAGAGAGGTATTGAACAGAAGAGTTTGGCTTACGCACAACAACACAGACTATTACATTACATTGCATTTAGCTGTAGGGGTGCAACAACTAATCGACTTAATCGATTAAAATCGATGACCAAATTAGTTGCCAACTAATTCAGTCGTCGATTCGTTGGTGACGTCATCACGTGTGTTTTACGCCCCGTTAAGCTCCAACGTTATCGGTCTTTTTATCGGTACTGGAGACATTTAAAAAATATGTCATACGTCGGGTAGGGGGGGGGGGGGGAGTAGGGGAAAAAAGGCAGACAGGTTAAGGGGGTGGGGGGGGGGGGAGTAGCGGAAAAAAACTATACAGTGGCGAAAGCCTTGGTAAAAAGGTGCGTTTTGAGGGCTTTTTTGAAAATGTCCAGGGTTGGTGCGCTGCGGATTTCGGGGGGGAGAGAGTTCCAGAGGGTGTTTATTGCTACATAAACATTATCTCGCAGTCTTCGTGTCGCCAACTCGTTTCTAACATGCAAAAAGACAAACAAATGCGTCTATGGTCGGTGTATTTTCGACCTTTCCAATCCAGACGAGATCTCTCTCTCCCCCGTCTGTGTGCGAGGGGGCGGGGCAGTTTACACACACGCAGCTGCTACATGCAGCAACACACGGAGGGGATGGCGGAGAGAAGCGCTCCAAGGTGTGGTTAAATGTTACCCGTCTTGAGGTGGACAATGCTCCTTGCCAAGAGTGTTTAGCATGTAAGGGCGGGAACACGAGCAATGTGTCTAAACATTTATCAAAAGTGCTCCACATTCAGACGGAGGAATGCACCGGGTTCCACTGTCTCTCTAGCAGCTCTGTAGCCCCATCCACGAGTAACGGTTCCACGTCAGCAACACACGGAGATAACAAAATGATACAAGCATGGGTTAATGATTAGAGGTAACTGAGTTATTTATTTTGTTAAAGTTTCAGCTATTCTGTTCACAGTTCTGTCATCAGATTATTTAATACGATTTGTTAAAACATTGTTGTTTCTTTTGATGTGAAATATTATTTATTTAATTTAAATAAAAAGCAATGTTAGTTTTGTAAACAATTTGTTAAGTTAATTTAATAATATATGTATTTTTGAATCAAGTATTCATCTTTATTGTCTTGTTAGTTTCCACATGCCTAAAACAACCTCTAGCTAAATCTAAAAGTTGATGGCTAAATAAGAGCGTTTGAGAAATTGTGCAAGGCATACAGTAATAGTCCGAATAGTCGATTCATCGTTTCATTAATCGATAGATTAATCGATTATCAAATTAGTCGTTTGTTGCAGCCCTATTTAGCTGACGCTTTTATTCAAAGCGACTTCCAATAAGTGCGTTCGACCAACAAAATACAAACTTGAAGAAAACAGAATCATATAAGTACATCGGGTTTCATAGAGCCAAACATTTCAAGTGCTACTCAACTACTACTATAGCAGTTATAGCTATTCGACTATAACACCCCTTGTTGTTAAATACCAACCAACTATGTACAATCTAACTTTTTTTTGGATCTCTAATACTTTTGTATGCACGCTTGTTAGACATTAAGCTGTCTTTGGCTCTTTTCTGCTGTAACACTGTAATGGCGCGTTTCCACTGCAGCGGGTAGCTCGCTTTAAGCGTGCCGAGCCGTGCGGGGCCCGTTTTTGGTTGCGTTTCCACTTGGCCTAGTAGCGGCTAGCGGGTCCTAATTCACAGTTTTTCTGGCCCCATAAAATCGTGGTTCTAGGGCCAGGAACAACCAGGCTGAGTCGGGCTGAGCATGCTAAGCTAGAATCGCTGGCAAGGGGGCTACAACTACAACAAGATGAACATATTTGACCGTGATTTAATTGTAATACACGTTTCAAAATGATGCCGAAGTAACAACATACTGATACCGGTTAGTAAAAACCATGAATTAATGCTTTGACAAGTCTGCAGACAGACAGCAGGCGAAAAACCCTTTTAAAATACGTGTTTTCTGAGCTAACGTTATATATGCTCCGACCGTCCACACTCACAACAACGGCCTATACAGACATAAATAAACCAGCGACTGTATTCTCCATGACACAGGCAGTCTGTGGTTTGTACTTGTTTAACTTTTGTCTAGTTTCTGAACAGATATGAGGAGCTGTGAGCTCTGAGTGCTAAGAGCTAACGGCTGTGTTGTTTTTCTGGGGCGCTCATTGAAGATGACGTCACGGCTCCGCCTACACTGCGTTACTATAGTAACTACCCCAGTTCCTAAACTGTAATGGAAGCGCAGCATTAAAGTGAGCCGGGCCTAATAAGGCCTAACCAGGCCGAGCGAGGCCTGCAGTGGAAACGCGCCATAAATGTCCCCTCTGTGAAACTAGTAAAGATATTCTGATTCACAAAAGCAATACAAAAACGTTGACTCATTTCTTTTTAAATGTTCTTCCATTGATGGTTTCCACCTGATTAAAAGTACTTAGTTATTGACCCCTGGAAGTGTGCATGAGCTCTCACCAGGTGTGTATCTGGACTCTGTGGAGCCCCACCCCCCCAGCCTCAGGGAAGAGCTGTCCCAGCCGGAGGAGGCGGAGCTGGGCTTCTGGCTGGTGAGGCCGGGTGGAGGTCTGGAAGGAGCCGCCACAGCCAGCGCCTTGGGGGGCAGGGGGACCTTCCACAGCTCGTGGGCCAGGGAGGAGTTGGACACAGAGCCGCCGCCGGGAGACCACTTCGACTCACTGGGTCTGGCTGCAGGGAGAGAGGACCAAAGGGGATCAGTTTCACAAAACATCTTTCTTTTTAAAGGTCCCCTATTATTCTGTTTTTCCTCATTATGTTATAGGTCTCAGATATACACAAAACCTGTCTGAAGTGTTTGGCTCCAAACACCAAACAGATCATTGCAGCATTACCCATAATCCCCTCTGTTTCAGCCCTGTTTCAAAAGTGCTGATTCTCTGTCTGTTACTTTAGAACAGTGTTTCTCAAACTTTTTCATACCAAGGACACTTAACCAATAAAAAAAACACTCGCGGACTCCACAAATATAAAAAAACACATCGTTTTTCTAGAACAGATTACAAATCGCCTGAAAATGGTACAAACAAGTGGCAACATGTGTGATGAAGGTGTTGCGCTGGGCTATATCATGCAATCAAAAGTGAAACTTAACCTCGCTCTATTGTGGAGATATTCCGGCGAGAGTGCGGAAAACTGAAATTTATTTATTTATTTCAAATGTGAAATGTTACCAATATACTCACGGACCACCAGTGGGTGCTCACGGACCACTAGTAGGAGAAGCACTGCTTTAGATGAAAATAAGGAGCCCCTCCCCACGCCCCTCTGAGAGAGATTTGGTTACAAAGAACTCAATGGTGCTCTAGGAGGAGATTCAGGTGATAAGGGGGGGGGGGGGGGGGGTTACCTTGGTTGCTGATTGGCTAATGGTTACTCAAGCCAAAACTCGTTATGACATCATAAAGTGGCCAAAATCTGATCAGCTCATTTTCAGACAGGTTTTTATAGAAATGGATCAGGACAAAAAGAGAGAGAATCTTTGTTCCTGAAACTTTCAGAGTCTCTTTCCACAGAGGGGACACATGTTGATGTAGAAGAGACATGAAGAAGAGGGGACACATGTTGATGTAGAAGAGACATGAAGAAGAGGGGGACACATGTTGATGTAGAAGAGACATGAAGAAGAGGGGACACATGTTGATGTAGAAGAGACATGAAGAAGAGGGGACACATGTTGATGTAGAAGAGACATGAAGAAGAGGGGACACATGTTGATGTAGAAGAGACGTGAAGAAGAGGGGACACATGTTGATGTAGAAGAGACATGAAGAAGAGGGGACACATGTTGATGAAGAAGAGACATGAAGAAGAGGGGACACATGTTGATGAAGAAGAGACATGAAGAAGAGGTGACACATGTTGATGTAGAAGAGACATGAAGAAGAGGGGACACATGTTGATGTAGAAGAGACATGAGGAAGAGGGGACACATGTTGATGTAGAAGAGACATGAAGAAGAGGGGACACATGTTGATGTAGAAGAGACATGAAGAAGAGGGGACACATGTTGATGTAGAAGAGACATGGAGAAGAGGGGACACATGTTGATGTAGAAGAGACATGAAGAAGAGGGGACACATGTTGATGTAGAAGAGACATGAAGAAGAGGGGACACATGTTGATGTAGAAGAGACATGAAGAAGAGGGGACACATGTTGATGTAGAAGAGACATGGAGAAGTGGATTTTGTACCTTTAAATGAGTCTAACATGGCTACAGTGTCAAGGTGAAGGGACTCGTATCCATTGTGACTCACTAGGGATATTTTAGTGTTTTCCAATCACTTTTGCTCTGTTAATGCAAATGGCATACATTTGAGTTGTTAGTTCTTTTTTTAATATTTACCTCAGTTCCTATTTTAAGCGCATAAATATTTTCCAACATATTGAGCCATTTTCATAGGTTTGCAGCAGTTTTTTTTTAATGTTACATTTTTGCCTTCAAACGATAGAGAACCGTTGTGAAGGAACTGAAATACAGTTGAATCTCTACATATCATGTTTACATGTATATAGACTTTTTGCAGGAGGAGCTCAGGTCAGAAGAATTGCATTGCCATGTCTACACTGTAGCTTTGTGCATAAGACAATAAAACCATTGAATCTCAATTTCAAACGATCCCTGCCATTTTTTATTTGACGAGATCTTTTCCCCTTCCTAATGATTATTTTGCTTGGGGGGGGGGGGGGGGGGGGGGGGGATTGGAGACAATGGAAAAAGCTGTATTACAAGAAGTGAAGCATACGCATACCTGAAGTGCTTTGTGCTGTACTGGTGAGGGAACCGCTGTGGCTGGAGGCACGAATGGATGACCAGGCACTGTTAGAAGGCATCGTGGTGTTCAGTGATGAGGATGGCCCTGCGAGACGGAGAGGGGAAAGTTAGAACCTCTGAAGACATAACAACAACATGTATGGTTTATAAACGCTTTACAATTTCATTATCTTTTTAAAAAGGTAGAGAGAAAATCAAAATGTTTTCAAGTCAGGCAAATAAAGCCCTCGGAAATGGTACAGAGTGGTGCTTCTTTCTTCAAGACACAATCTTGGATCTGGCTTAAATACAATCTGCAGGTGAACGCTGTTATCTCAAACAGCGAAACAGACTGTTAGCTTGAAAGAAGCTTTAACGTTTCGGACATTGTTTAATGCTAATGAAAGAGAGAGAAGTAGATAAAAGATGAAATAAGAGATATAAAACATTACATTGGTATTCTGTATTGAAACTAGGGCTGCACGATATTGGAAAAAACTGACATTGCGATATTTCCCCCCCTGCGATATATATATATATTGCGATATGAAAAAATACAGGAATTGTCCGCAAACCATCCTTTCTTGAACTTTAATGAAACAATTGGTATTTTTTTAACGATATTTAACCGGATGAAGGATTTTAGTCACGGACTTCTGGATCTTAAGTTATCAGAGCAACAAGCTGAGCTAGCTCGGTTATCCTGCTGTGATCTGATCAAGGAGGTTGTGATTGGTGAAATGCAATAAAATGAAAAACAAAATAAAAAGCACTTCGATACTAACAAAGGGCTGGCTTACCTAAAGCCAGTTGAGTAGCACTTCAAATGTTTTGTCTATGAAACCTGATGTACTTATATGATTCTGTTTTCTTCAAGTTTGTATCTTCTTGGTCGAACGCACTTATTGGAAGTCGCTTTGGATAAAAGCTGCATGTCACTCACTCAAGTACCCCTGACATGAGAGCCGTGCGAGTTTTCCTTTTGTAGCAAGTAGCAAAATAATTGTATGATGTGTTTGAGTTAATTTGCCTACTTGAAATCGCATGTCCTGCGATGTGAATATTGCGCATGCGCATAACGTGATTATCGTCGCGACACGATATATCGGGCAGTCCTAATCGAAACTTAACCCTACTTTGTGTTCATATCCGTCTTTCTGTTGTGTGTGACCTACCGTTGTTCCTGTCCCTGAGGTGGTCTGTGTCGCGGACGGTGTTGATGGAGAGGTTGTTGATGACACTGCCGGGGGTCACATAGGGGTCGGTCTCAGGGTCAATGTTGGGGTAACCTTTCCAGGGCTCCCCGGGTCGGAACTCTGCAACAAAAAAAACACAGACGGGGATTAGAACATGTCAACGGGAACACTTTGCTTTATTTGTTTGGTCCTAGAAAAGCCTGTGTGTTGTACCTGGGGGCCAGGTGACAGTGTTTCCAGGGGGCAGGGGGGAGTTGGCACGGGGTGGCCAGCCATCTCCCACCGAGCCCATTGATTGGCCGGGAGGACTCAGGGGAGACGGGCCAGGAGACAGGAAGTTGTAGAAGGGAGAGTCCTCCAGACGCAGCCCAGACGACATAGCACCTGAGGGCAGAAACAAAGACATAGATCAGGATACAGACACACAGAGAGAGAGAGAGACAGACAGACAGACAGACAGACAGACAGACAGATAGACAGATAGACAGACACAGACAGACAGAGAGACACAGACAGACAGAGAGAGACAGACAGACAGACAGACAGACAGACAGACAGACAGACAGACAGACAGACAGACAGACAGACAGACAGACAGACAGACAGACAGACAGACAGACAGACAGACAGACAGACAGACCAGACAGACAGACAGACAGACAGACAGACAGACAGACAGACAGAGACACAGACAGACAGACAGACAGACAGACAGACAGACAGACAGACAGACAGACAGACAGACAGACAGACAGACACAGACAGACAGACAGACAGACAGACAGACAGACAGACAGACAGACAGACAGACAGACAGACAGACAGACAGACAGACAGACAGACAGACAGACAGACAGACAGACAGACACACAGACACACAGACACACAGACACACAGACAGACAGACAGACAGACAGACAGACAGACAGACAGACAGACAGACAGACAGACAGACAGACAGACAGACAGAGACACAGACAGACAGACAGACAGACAGACAGACAGACAGACAGACAGACAGACAGACAGACAGACAGACAGACACAGACAGACAGACACAGACAGACAGACAGACAGACAGACAGACACAGACAGACAGACAGACAGACACTAAAACTCATTGGTTTGGTTATTCATATCAGAAATCTTTATTCATCCCAGGGGGAAAATGTTTTTATGACAGTTTACATTAAGTGCATAACTAATATTTGACTGAAATGTATTTTAGTGTTTAATGCTTTGAATCCAAATTGCACCTCGAGTTTGTCGGGCAACTTTGTTTGCAATTGTTTCTACCCCAGAAGTTTAAGATCCCCTCTCATAGATAGACCAGCCCCCCCATAAAAATAACTCTAACACAAAGTGTTTTCTGTACCAGATTTGCTGTCCTGCTCCAGAGGGTCAGTAGACCAAAGTTTCTTCATTCTGGACTGGGGCGGCTCTTTGTAGCACACAGCTCCGCCGCCACTACCTCCACCAACACCCATGTCCAGGGGTACATTCATGTTAGAGTTCAAGCCTGGAAACAGAAAGGAGACAAGAAATTCAGTCTCTCCATATTTAAAACATAAAGAGTACAAAATAAAGGTAAATCAAGTCAAATATCGACTCCTCAATCAGGGGATATATACTGATTTAAAATGTTGCACTTATTATCAGCTAACGTACTTAAAGGGAAGTTGCTGAAGGATCCAAGAGAAGAAGCATCCTTCTGCATGTCAGGGGCATTGTGGGACATGTAGTTATCCATGTAGGGTTTGTGTGGTGGAGGCGGTTTCATCATGGAGGGGTCCAGGTGGCGAGGCGGCTGCATCATCGACGGAGACGAACCAATAGGACGAGTCTAAGGACAGGAAGTAAGGAAGTCAGACAAAACCAATACAAAAGAAAACATTGAGACACTTCTGGTTCATGAAATACAAATGATTACATGTTGGTTTTAATGAAGCAGTATTTTTAAACACACACCTGTTCACTGGGTCGTCCCACAGGCATGGGTCTATGGCTCTGAGCTTTCTGCTGCTGCTGCTGCTGCTGCTGCTGGAGGAGAAGACGCTGCAGACCAACGAAAAAGGAACATGTTAATACAAGCAGCTTCATGATGTTTCTGCATCTCTGGTTTGGTTTGAGTATGTTTTGTTCAGCAAGATAATATCCGTATCTATATCAACACCAATTGTAATTGTTGAAGTTTTAACACATTTCGGTGTTTTTGGACTCCTTTCTGAGTCACTCTATACTGCGAGGCAACATTTCACACGGCTCACTGCTGTGTGTATTTGAGTGCAGATACAACATGTGTTTGTGTGGCTCTACCTGTAACTGGTTGATCTGGCTGAGCTGTGACAGCTGGTTGAGCTGGGAGAGTTGGTTGAGCACAGCGACCTGCTGAGGGCCGAACAGAGGGTTCAGACCTCCGTTACCTCCCGGGTACTTCAACAGGGATGGAGGCACCTGAGCACAAAACCACATATTTGTTCATACACTTTTTCACTAATGATTTTCCATGTCTTCTCCAGGACCTTTGCCTAATTTTCCATGACCAAAAAAATAACTCTTTCTCAGCGGTTCCACTGAAAATGGTTTATTTTAACATGGAACAGGAAAATAAGGTCTGCATATGAAACATGTTGTGCCTCTAAAACAAATCAAATAGGCTTACTAGCTTCTACACGCTAAAGCAACTCAAATCTCTCACCAGCAAAATACCTCGTCAGTTAAATGCCATTTTACGTTTCATTACTATACGATATTTATTATCATTATAGTATTACTATTTCGGCGATTAGATAAAATATAAATTATATTTGATGCAACTTTAGTTACATTTCCATGACTTTCCCCAAACTTTGGGAAAAATATTGTTTTCCATAACTGTTCCAGGACCTGGAATTAGCATTTTGAATTTCCATGACTTTTCCAGGTTTTTAATGACCGTTTAAATGTGTGTATATATATATATATATTCACATTTTTGGATAAAACACAAATCAAACCATGGACAACATTTGAACTAATGAGCAGTAGATGCAATGCTATCTTAGAGAAAGCAGGTGTGGTGTTTTACCTGAGGGGGCAGGATGGGTGGAGGCACTTGGTTGCGGAGGTTGGGTTGGGGGGGGGATCTGCGACTGGGGGCCGCCTCGGCCCTGTGCTACGCTGCTGCCACCCATCATAGGGTTTACATTCTGAGAAGGGAGACAACACACACAAGCAGAAGGTCAAACAACTTGCAAACACTGGAAAACCAGAATCAGAATACTTTGTGTCTTTGTGAACAAAGGTTTCCAAGAAATTAAATATGAATCGTCAGATAAATGTGTGAACCCTCTAGAATACCACTGTGGAGTCTAGGGCTGAAGACCCATAAAACCAACACCCTGTTCCTCCTGCCACACTCACCTGCCGAGCGCCCCCAGGACTCAAGTGGGCGGGAGATGGCCCAGATTCGAGGCAGGTGAAAGGCTGAGCAGAATTGGAAGAGGAAAAGCTCATGCTTTGATTGGAGGAGAGCTCGTCAGGAGCCGCGTTATTGTAAGCAGAGGGGGAAACGGACAGCTGCAGAAGCAAGCCCAGGCGCACAGCAAGCACAGAGGGACAGGAAGCAGGTCAGCAGCCAGAGAAGTGCAGAGAGGGAAGGAGAAAAGGAGGAAGAGAATTAATTTTGCAAAAGAAAAAGAGAGAAGGAAGGAGGAAGGGATGACAGTGGGAAAAGAATGAGGAGAAAGACAGATAAGATAAGAGACAAGCAGCTCTAATGGCGCTTTTCCAGCACGGGTTAAGCTTTATTTTGATTTTCCACTAGGGGTAGTTCCGGCTCAGGGCTACTTTTTTCTGGCCTTCCAGAATCGAGGTTCTTACCAGGCCAACAACCGGGCTGAATATGCTAAACTAGTGATGTAAACACTCTCCACTGCTGAATGGTCAGAGAGAATCGCTGGCAAGGGGCTACAACTACAACAAAATGAACATATTTTACCATGTTTCAAAATGACGCCGAAGTAACAACATACTGATACCGGTCTGCAGACGGAAAACCTTTTAAAATGCGTGTTTTTCTGAATGGAGATCGGATCGATCAGGCTAAGCTAACGTTATATATGCTCCGACCGTCCACACTCACAACAACGGCCTACAGACATAAATAAACCAGCGACTGTATTCGCCATGACACAGACAGTCTGTGGTTTGTTCTTGTTTAACTTTTGTCTAGTTTCTGAACAGATATGAGGAGCTGTGAGCTCTGAGTGCTAACTGCTGAGGTTTTGTGGTTCGCATTGAAGATGACGTCACGGCAGTTTTACGCAGCGTCGCTCCACCCGCAGAACAGCCAATCGCCCGCCTACAGTGCGTTACTATAGTTACTACAAACTGTAATGGAAACGCAGCATAAAGTGAGCCTGGCCTACCAAGGCCTAACCATACCGTACTAAGCCGTGCGAGGCCCTGCTGTGGAAAAGCGCCATCAGAGGAAGAAGAGAAGCAAGCCAAACAAACCTAGGGCAGCTATTTAAGGGGGTGACTCCGTTGTATAATTACAAATCACTTGTAAAAGTTCCTTTTTTTATAACAATCAAGCATATTTAAATTTGCTGTTATTGATTAGAAATGATATATTCTTAATAAGAAATCCTAATGATGAGACACAACATGCTAACATCCCTTTCTGTAGTCCACAATGCAGTACGTGAGAACCCCCACTGGGGGGCAGCACAGGGCTGAGAGACGGCAGAGAGACTGGCTACCTTAAGATCACCACAATGGCAGAGAATATTATTTAACCTTTAACTGGTAAAGTTACTTTTACGTAGTAGTTCAAAATAGCTAGATAAAGTTGTCTGTTTATTATTTTAATTTAAAACTAAGGTTCGTTTCCTTGTTTAAATACATACAAAGGAGTTTGTATCTTCATGGTTGAATGCACTTATTGTAAGTTGCTTTGAATACAATTGTTAGCTAAATGTATCTAATGTAGAGCATATTTACAACTCATTCATCCCCCTTTTTGTATTTGAGCTTGGTGAATCACAGCTGATGTGTTCCTGAGATCTTTACCCCCAGCCCCATTCGTACACCACGGTAACTTTGATGTGTCTGCATACCTTGTCATAGTAAGAGCTGCGGTCCATGGGAGAGTCCTTGTGGAGCTGGTGGCGAGACCCGGGGTTCTTCCCCATCCCTCCATTGTAGTCTCCCATGCCGCCCATGTCCATACGCTTGTCCTGCACCATGCCTGCTCCCGTCTTCATGGAGTCGTCAGGAGAGTCTCTCTGCATGACGGGAAAATGGATTCGAAAAGACCAACGATGAATAAAATTGCTGCATATTAAATCTCAATCTTTATTTATTTATATAGCACATTTAAAACAACCTTCAGTTGACCAAAGTGCTGTACAGGCAGTAACTACAATATTAAATAACACAATGGGAGAATTACAAACATAATAAAAAGCACAATAACTAGAAACATATAAATAAATAAATAAATAAAAAACACATACAAATATAAAACTAGTATTAAAAGCCAGTGCAAAGAGGTGAGTTTTTAGCTGGGATTTAAAAAGTTCAATCGACTCAGCAGTCCGGATATGTGCTGGGAGGCTGTTCCACAGTCTGGGAGCTGCAACACTGAAGGCCCTGTCACCTCTGGTTTATATTAACAAGGTTGGTTGCAACCGTTGCTTAAAAAATATTTTAACAGCCATTTGTATTAATATATGCTGAATGTAAAAGTAAATGAGAGGCAACAGAAGAATCATTAGAAACAGGACTTACAGAGAAGTTCATGCTGTTGAACTGGTTGACGAACGGCCTCATCCAGGGCTCATCCTGTTTGCTGACTGGTTTGTTCATCTGGAACGCAGTGAGACAAAAGACCAATGGTTAAACTGGCTGCTAATGCTTCCAGTGTCTTCAAGTGTTTCCGAAGGGGAAATATATGATCATTTCAGAAACAAAATAAAATCCATTCTGCAAAATAAAGACGACGGCTTCAATTACTTTACAAATGATGTGCTTTGCTATTTAATATCATGTGTTCTGTGAGAGTAAGGATCTATGTTTTCATGCTACAAACTCGCTAATTCGATGTCAACGTACCTTGCTGGACACTTTATGCTTGTAGCTCCAGGTGTTTTGGTCGTGGGATCTGTTGTCCTGTTGGCTGTTGCTCCACATGCCGATCTCCACCTCCTCTTCCTGGTCCCAGCTGTTGCCCTCCCCCCCTCCCCACGTCTCCATGGGCTTGGGACCTGGAGCTACTAAGAAGGAAAGGACAGAGGAAGAAAGTGAACACCAACGAGAGATTGTAAACGTTGCTGTTGGAAAACTAAAAAGATGGATAACTGGCGACTGTAATAGAAATACTTCATGACTCCAAATAAATGGTGTGCTCCTACCAGGCTTGTGCTGTCCGCTCCATCCAGGCGCAGCGGAGTCTCTCTTATCTCGGCCGGGCTCCTCCCAGGTGGAGTTGGTCTCCATGGGTTTCCCCCAGGCAGACGTCCCGTTGTCCACTTTTACAGGTGGAGGAGCGGGAGGCTCCCACGTCGAGGACTCCTTCTTCTTGGCGTACGGCTCACCCCAACCTGGTGGAGAAGAGGGCAGTACCCGTTAGAAGGACGATACACTCTCTGTGGTTTTCATTTAAATGTTTTATCATTGTTGAAGACTTAAACCAGAAGGTAGCAAAGCTAAAATAACAACCAACATTTTTTTTTTCAATAAATGATACGTTTCAACAAACAACATAATTATTACATTCAGACAAACTACTTGTAGTAGATGAAGTACATTATTCAAAAGTTTACATTAACTTTGAATAATAACACGGGAGAAACGGAGCCTCTCTTTTCTCCTCTCCCGACAGCCCGTCAGTTTCTCATGCAGCTCGCTACATTACATGTTACACTAGACATGCTGACTGCAGTGGGACTCGAACTTGCTATCCTCTGATTCGGAGATCAGCGCATTAACCCACTGCACCACACGCTAAACAGTGGGCGGGGCTTCAGGTGATCATGCAGAGCTGCGTGTCTCCATCAGACTCAGCAGCTGATCTCTGATCTCTCTCTCTCTCTCGCATCCGGTTACACTTCACTCGCGTTTATGTCCATATCGATCAGATGCAGCTCTCCTGATCGGCCTCTATAGAGAGCACCGATCAAACTATTAAGAGTGAATATCGGCCGATGATGACCGGCGGCCAATCGATCGGAGCATCCCTAATTATTACCGGACATTTTGACCGGCAGGTTTTGAATTTACCGGGTTTTAGCTGGTAACATTGATTAAAAACCGGTAAATTCAAAACCTGCCGGTCAAAATGTCCGGTAATAATTAGGGATGCTCCGGCTGGTCTAATTACCGGCTAACGGAAACCCTGATAATATATATATACGATTATGGTGCTATTTCTTAACATTATCTGTAAAACCAATTTGTTTTGTTGAACCTGCAGGCTGGGATATCATTGCCGCTCCACTATCATTTATTAAAAATTGTCTTTTTTAAATCATGTTTAGCCAAATATTGTGCTTCCTGCGATTTGAACATTGTACTAGTCCATATTGCGATTTACATAGCATTTGGATTTATTTTGCAGACCCACTCCACACATCTCATTAACAATGCTGCTGCAAGTTGACATTGTTTGTTTCCTGCTGGAATCAGAGAACAGAGCCCTTCTCCTGTCTCTGGGGAACACAGCGTTAACTTGTTTATATAAGTGTTGTTTACCAACTCTTTTGTGTGCACGGACCCCTGTGCACCCTAAAAATGCGCGCGTTAGAAAGTCTCCCGTTTCAGCTGACAACTCAGACGTGCTACAGAAGGCATTTCGGGAGATGCCAGGGATACCTCCCCGTAAAAATAGGACATATCATGGGGCTGCCTCAGGCTCCAGTGTCTCCATGTGACCGGGCATGCTCCAACACAAGTACATAACAAAACGAAACATGCACACTGAGCTAAACATACATGCAGTAGCACACTTGCTATACACTTTAAACAGGAGTACGTACGCGTTTGTACGGATGCAAACACACATCAATAGATAAACAGTAACCTTAAACTGAAGTTGTAAAGACTTTAAAAAATATTATTTCTAAAAGAATCGATGTTCAAGTACAATTTTACATTTGTTTAAATTCTTTTCTCTAGTAACACATCTGTAAATACAAAATGTTATCATCCTAATTTCCCTTACATATTTCTCTATTAAAGGATAGTGTGTTTTTCTTCATTTAATTTTTTTAATTGTAAATCTACATCCTGGTCCTTTCTCTCGTTACAGTCGCTAGCTGCTCTGCCCCACCCTTCCCAGTTTGCTTCTCCAGTCAGCTCACTCGACAGCAACCCCAAATAACCCCAACCCCCCCTTCTACAGAATCGCTGTCTTACTCATTTTACTCTTCCCCGTCTTACACTGGAACTACTCCTATTACCAAGCCCACCTCCTCTGCTGCTCATTGCTCCCCTTTTTATCAAACCAAACAAAAGCCAGTTCCTACAGCAAGCCCGAATTGGCGGGTGAAAGAGAAAAAAAGGGAGATGAAAAAAACGAGAAGAGAAAAATCAATGCTCTTAGCATTCCAAAGGGATGACTCAACCAGCTGCACAAAGAGCCTTCAACATAGACAACACCGTAGGGAGATGGGGAGAGTGTCTGTACGAGATTGTTTTCTCTCCATGTACCGTGCAGATTGTATATGCTATTGAATACATATCTGAATCCACAGGTTTTAATTGTTTGTACTGTCCAAATCCTTTTAAAACCAGCCGTCTCAAAGAGAGTGGGTGGAAATTGGGTATTTTTATTCTATTCAAGGCTGCACCATTTAGACACTCGTACCATTTCAGATACTCGCTGATGTCCTAGCATTTTTACATGAATCTCAATATTGCTCAAAGTAAAACATTTGTAATCTGCATGCTAATCCACCCACAGTCAGTGCATGTTATCTGAAGTGTGCAAAACTAAGGAAGCACTTGAAAGGCTGTCATTCAAGTGTGCAGCGATGAAAGTATCCCTGCAGGCTAACAACCACTGAGACGTGTAATGACAAAACATTTGGTAATTTGGCTGCAACATCTAGTCGGGGGAAAAACACGAGAAGGTCTGGCTCAGCCATTTTAGAATAGTACACAATGGGTGTAAAAATGTTGTGCGTAACACCACACCTTTTTGTCATTTCATAGTTGTGTTAACGATTGAAGCTAAGGAGTTTAAGTTTTGGTTATTCAATACCTTTTATTATATGTAACGCATAGATTAATAATGCATATGGTTACAAATAACAGCTGATTCATCTGGCTTCTACCTGCGCCTTGTCAAACATACAGGTGTGAACTGTGCGTGCCTTCAAAATCTGTGCATACATATTTAAACTTACTATTACAGCTTTTGTCCTGGGCCATAGGCTGCACGGGCGGAGGAGGATGCATGACGCTGCGAGGCGGGTGGGGCTGGTGCTGAGGGGGCTGACTCGCAGCCTCATGCTCTGATTGTCTGGTCTTGCTCCACATGTTGCCAGCTCCAACGCCGTGTTTAGCGGCTGGGAAGAGAGTTAAATCAAGTTTGAGTCATCAAGTCAATAAGAGGTTCGAGTTTTGAATGATTTAGACTCTGCAAAGCACTTTTTGAAGGGATTCCTAGTGTGCTCAGTGTTTACCTGGTTCTCCCCAAGCTGCTGTCCCATCATCGATCTCATTCCTTCTGCGAACAGACTCAGGAGAAGGCTCTTCCCACCCAGATGAAGTTTCCTCCTTCTGAACTGCTGCGGGAATTGGGCCTCCTTGCCAGCCTGGTGGAAGAAAACACAAAAAGTGAGCCATCAATTGCGTGTCCTCCCACTTAGGAATCTGTTTTGGTGCCCTATGGCCTTTTCTAAAGATTTGTTTTAACATAGTATGCATTTCTCAAATGTACATCTCAACATGTCAGTCTTCTTTAAATGTTGTTGTCCATTTAGTATTAACTTACATTGTATCACTTGAAAGGTCCGTAAACTATACATAAACTAAACACAGGCATATTTAGACTTGCTTATAAACAAAAAGATAGGATTCTTGATTTAAAAAGAGATTCTGATTGGATGAATACTCCAGATAAGTACCTGCGGGCTTGGTGGGGGGTGGATTGCCTCGGGACATGTTGGCTTCAGGAGCTTTCCCCCACTCGTTGGCGGGCTTTGGATTGTGCTCACTCCAGTTCTGGTTGTTCTTTGCGGGCTCGACCCAGCCCTGGCTGTGACCCTGAGGGTTGGGTTTCTGAGGGTTTGAGTCGCCCCAGTTGGAGCCTGGGTTCTGGGTGCTCCGTTCTGGAGTATTTGATCCTCCGCCGCCCGCCCAGGTGTTGCCGCCGCCGCTGGTGTTGGTTCGGCTCTGCTCGTTCCAACATCCGGAGCCTGAGCGGTTGCTGTCGCTATCCCTCTCCCGCCCCTCCCAGTGGTTGTTGCCCCCTGCTCTGGGTCCATCTCCACCGTGACCCCAGCCCTCCCTTCCATGTCCACTCTGCGAACCCCAGCCTTGCTGCTGCGGTTTGGGCGCATTAGTCCAGGTATTGGATCTAACAAATAAATAAAAAAGATCAGTTACTCAATTAGGCGTCACATTAAACTTGCTTCAAACTATATTTCTGTGTTGTTCAAATCAGTATTTCTGAAATGTCCAATCATCAATTACCTGTCGTCTTTGTTGGTGTTATTGCTCCAAGTGTTACTGTTGTTGTTGCCACCCTTGTAGCCGGATCCATCGTTCCAGCTGCTCTGCCCACCTCCTCCGTTTGCTGGGGCTTTATTGTCCCAACTAGAGTTTTGTCGCTCGCCCCAGCCAGAGCCTCCTGGACCTGGACCTGGACCTGAGTTGCCGGGCCCACCACCCCAACCTGCAAGCAAACCAAAAGGGAAGTCAATCTTTTGCCGACTTTTTTGTGTGTAATTGTGGTCTTACTTTAATGTTTGTTAAGATCTATAAAATATATCCACACAAAAGTTTAATTATCATGATTTTCCTACCTCCGGAGGTCTGGGAGGGAGCTGCCGGTGTTGCTGTGCCCCATCCGGGGCCTCCGCTGCTTTGCTTTCTTTCGTCACCTCTAGGAACTTGTCTATTAACGGGAGAGTTGACATCCCAGGAGGTGTTCTGTCGAACGGGTGTCTGTCCCCATCCAGTGTTGGAAAGGACTCTCGGGTCCACGTCGACCGGGGGCACAGCCGATACTACTGGCCCAGGAGGGATAACCGTTCTGTGGATTCCCCCTTTTGACTGGTCTCTGTCGGCGCTGGATCGGCCTCCGGAGCTCTCTCCGCTTCCCTCACTTCCTCCAGAGCGGCCCCAGCCTCCAGTGACGCTCCCTAAGGCGTGACTTCCTCCTACTCCTACTCCCCCTCCTACTCCCCCTCCTACTCCTACTCCCCCCCCCTCCTACTCCCATGGCGTCATCCTCCAAGCTCTTCCAGCCATTGTTGGCAGAGCTTCCTTTATGACTTCCAGCATCTGATTGGTTGATACCAGGAGCTGTCGTTCCCCATTCTCCATTCGGCATCTTGTTGTTGGATGTGGTAGAGGACGATGAGGAAGAGGAAGAAGACGCGCTGCTCCCCCAGGGCCGGGGTATCTCTGCTGGAGGGCCCATCGTAGTTTGGTTCCCATTTCCTGGCGTTTGGCCTGCAGAGCCTTGGATTTGATTACCCCAGGAGTTGCTCTGAGGCTGGTTTGGGTTATTGGCAGGCCCCTGGTCCCAGTGCGGGGCCCCAGTGTTATTGTGGTTATTATTACTCTTGTAAGCAGCAGTAGAGGATATTTGGGGGTTCCCGGCCTGCATTAAGGCAGGGTTTTGTGGGTTCACAGTGTCTGCATTTAGGGGGCCCTTTTCACCAGGGTAGGTAGTTGCGCCCCAAGGCGTACCGAAGGTCCCAGGACCTCCCAGCTCTCCTTTGGGGTGCTGGGTGGCTGATATGGGGTTTCCATTCGCCAGCGGACCCACGTTCCCTCCTCCAATAGAGCCCCAGGAACAATCCCCGCTGAGTTGGGGTGAGGCTGTAGAGTTTGGTGGACTAGAGGTCATTGTGGCGTTAGTAGTAGTAGTAGTAGTATTCATCATAGTGTTATTTGGTCCATTGGATTCAGTGTTAAGGTTGGTCAGCTGTAGGCCACCATTTGCACTGTTGCTGCTTTCTAACACCTTGCTGCTTGCTGTACCATTATTCACCTCGGTGTCTTCCATCGTACTGCTGTTGTTGGGAGCTACCATGCCGCCCCAGCCAAGCGTGGGGCCCTGCTGGGGAGCTATACCCAGTTTCATCCCCTGAGCCTGAGGAGGTCTTTGGCCCTGGGACACTGGGCTTGGATTCTGTGGCCAGGCACCATGGTTGGCATTTGGGTTTAAAGTGTTTGGGTTCAACCCTCCATTGATGCAGGGGGTGCTTCCTCCAGAGATCATGCTGCTGCCCCAGACACCACTGTTATTGACGGGCTTGTTGTGGTTGCCCATGTTATTGCTGCCAATACTGCTGGACCCAGCCGCGGAGTAGTGGGAGGACCCGGTGAGGTTATTATTTCCATTATTTGCACCGCCGATGCCTCCCATCCCTCCGCCGATTATCTGACGACTGTTGCCGTTGCTGTCTCCGTTCACCGAAACGCCGACCATCATGTCGGAAGTCACCATAGAGGAGGGAGAAGAAGCTGTAGAAGACACAGAGGAAGGAGCATTTGCTGACATCATCATCACTGTCGTCACAGCGGCGAGGTTTTTCTCCGAGCCGATCGAGGAGCTAGAATCTGCGTCCATGCATTCTGACGCCAACTCTGGGTCCGATCCTGACCCACAGCCAGAAGAGGAAGAAGACGAGGAGCAAGAGAACGAGGAAGAAGACGGAGGCCAGACGGAAGAGTTGGTTGAAGAAGGGTTGTTGGGTTTGTCGGTGCTTCCGTCCACTAGGACTTTGCCCCAGTTGGTGTTGCCGTCACCGCTGCAGGGAGAGCCAGAGGACCAGGGGGAAGGCTCATACTGCGAGTCCAAGCCAGGGTGCTCCAGACCTGCAGAGAGGAAGGGTGGACATGGCAGAGGATAGGGTTAGAAAAACATTTAAAATCAAAATCAAACAATTACCAAAGGTGCAGATTCATCACGGTGAAGAAAATGTTGGGATAGTAAAATGTACTTTATTAAATGAAACAACCGTTGTGGTTCGAAATTCGCCTCATTCACAGTGGCTTTGTCATTTTTCTATTTCCTCCAACTTTCAGCTACCCAACTGTTCTGGATTTGATCAGTGCCAGGGCTGAGCCTGAACACAGCTGCCACCATTTTGTCACCACAGCGGGACCCAGAAGCATGCCAAAGCTATAAACTAGGATTCAGGGAGGGCAGCCGACGCCATCAGCGGGAGAGGGGAGATGGCATTTGTGAGTGAAATAGCAGGAGGGAGTGACACCAGCTGAAATTAACTCTAATCCTATTTTTCCTGATACAATACCATTGTCTGAGAGCATCTGCATTCAGACTTGGCATGTCTCTAAAATTAGACTCCAGAGAACACTTATGATCTGCTACTTGTGATTTTGCTTTCAGGGCCATTATGAACACACTCAGTTCTGACTCAAGTGCCTGCATTTTCAGAGCTTCAGCGGCCCTCCGTGCTGTGCCGTCATTATTTGCCGCATCTTCGTAACTCAAACTGCATTTGTGCAGTGGGAGCCCATTCGCTGTGGTAATTAATGAATGAACATTTTTACAAGAATACTGGTTTAATGTGAAGGAATTATTATTAATGTGCAAGACTAAGATAAAGAGACTAAATAGATTTTTAAAGCAATATCTGTAAAGGAGGATGTCTTAAAAACACAACTGACCTTTGGTATTTTTTTTTTATGGTTTGAAAACAAACATGAGCTTTGCAATCAGCTAGTTTGTGAGCCAACCTTACCATACTTTTCCTATGAAGATTAAAAAAAGGGCAGCAAGGCCAGGGCATTGGCTCTGACGAGGCTCAAAGCAGCTCAGCTCCATTTTATTTGAATACTCAGGGTATATGCAGGAATCCTGAAGTCACATGTAATACCTTTAAAGACCTTTTTTAAGACCCTTTCCGTACATTTTAAGACCTCATCGCCACTTGGAGTTTTAACCGGTTACCTTGGCGACACACTTCACCTCACATTGACTATATACAGTATTGATTGTCCTTCCTCCGTATCTTCCAACCATTTGGACGCAGACTTGCATTTCCCCATAACGATGTTGTTTAACAACCGGCGTAAACGGAGCTTCGCGCGCTATCAAGCAGTGAGCGTGCGATGTCCTGTTCAGATGACGTCAAATCCAACGGGATGCCATCAATAAACTACACAGAATCACACTACACACCTACGCAATGATTACATTCAGGCACACTGTAGAATACAACCTCTTTGGACAATTTATAGACTTATTGAAAACAAGCTACAAAATGTCATACCTTGGAAAATGCCGTTTAATACTTTTTAATAGCCTTCATTTTCGCTAAATTGATTTATCAACTTTTAATACTTTTTAAGACCCCGCGGACACCCTGTTCCGATCTCTGGCACCCTTTCCACACCCACTTTCATCTCTATCAGTTTCTCTGATAAGCCTGGAAAAATGCATCTGGGTTTACCTAGTCTGCCGATCAGAGCAGAGAGAGCCAAAGGAAGACATTGGGAGGAGGAAGAATGAAGAAGCGCAAAAGAACGGGAAAGAAGAAGGCTATGTGTAGTCACCTGTTTGATTAGGGGAGTGGCTGACGGAATCCCGAATGGGAGCCATGCCTGGAAACAGAGAGAGAGGAAAGACTGTCAAACAGACTTAAAGCGAGTTCGAGAGAAAGCCATAAGAAAACACACAGAGGAGATGTTAGAAAGTTAATACAGAACAGGACATTCAATGGGAATCAAGCAAGTTTAAAGTCAGAGGGGTTGAAAATTAGAAGGACTTGCAAAGTAGAGGAGTATTAGTAAACAGACCCTGCTGAAACTAGGTCAGTATTTACAGTTGATCATCTGTATTACAATATTAACAAATATTTCAATTTAGCACATAATTGTTTCATGTTTGTGTATTTCTCTGACTCGTCTGAGCTGAATTTGGTATTGGTAAAGCCAAACCATTTGCACCACTTTCAAAAACCTCAGGAGACTAATCGCTGCCTTACCTTTAGGTTAAGAATGCTAAACATTATGTTTTCACGTTAGGATGTTATTTTGTAGTCTTTCACAAATTGGAAATCTGCTACTTTTCTAACAAGTTTTTACAACAATAGGGAATATAGGTACAAGTAGAAACTCATCAGACGACATGTGCCAGAACACACCCACCTTGATTGTCATGTAAATGAACAACTATCTCCCTGCTTATCCAAGAATGTGTTATTGGCAGACAGATTGTTTTTGTAGTCTTGTGTCTCTGTACGTGTTTGAGAATGTCGGATCTAATCGAGTGTGAAACAGTTTTCTTGCGTTTGGTTTGTTCTTTTTGTTGTTGTTGTAGTTTACCTGTGAGTGCGGCTCGTGGCCCCGGGTCGAGTGGAGAACGAGTGACCTCCGGTTCCAAGGTCGACCAATGGGAGGTCAAAAGGACAAAGCTCACAGGGCACAGCCCTCAAGGGCCTGAGGTGAAGAGGCAGGGCTTGTCAGAGCGGGCAGCAGGCTGATCGTGCCCCCTTGGCATTGCTGAGGACTGTATGTGTGTATGTGTATTTGTGGGGAGGGGGAAGGGGGGGAAGTTGTTTAGATTTAGGACTCTGTCTTGACTTGGTATGCTCTGGCACTGCGGAGAGAGACAGAAAGAGAAAAGAGGAGAGAGATGGTTTAGGGTAACATTTTGAACCTATGAATTATTAATAACTTCAAAAACAACCGTTTTAAAAATCAGGACATTGATCACCAACAGCAAGGGTTTCCAGAGAATTCCAGACACCAGGATGACCCCTTTATTCTAATTCACAGCATGAATGGGCCTTGTGCATAATCAAACCAACAATGGGAAAGTTTCACTTGTCTAGCTATGGAGAATTGGCCTTCTGTTGACTGTGACAGTGTAAGGATCGCCACAAGGACGTTTGCAGTGAAATTGTGTCTATCATTACTGAAAAGGACACAGTTGGCTTGCTTGATGTCGTCCTCACTGGCTTTTAATTCAGGACATTTTACTGGTATCAGCGTACATGTTTTATTGTATCGTTATCGAACTCTTTGTTTTATTTGTATTTCTATCGGTATTTGGTTCTGGTTGTTCTGTTAAGCACTTTGTAATGCATCCTTGCATGAAAGGTGATATACAAATACAGTTATTAATTGTATTGACTATCAACTAGGGATGCACGATAATTATCGGCCCGATATTAGGAATTATGACGTCATCCCGATAAACCCGATAACAGTATTAATAGCCCCGATAATATACAATATATTTTTTGGGTAAAAAAAAGGAAGAATACTGCGGTGTGGGTGGATTGGGATGAGGGGCGCTTGTTTTTCACTCGGCTCCTCCCGTTTTGCCAGTACTGTGGTATTAGTGGTTTAGGAAGAGGGGAGTTCTTCACAAATCCAGCGCTCCCTAACTCATGCCTGGCTGTGACGTAAATGGTGTGCGGCCGTGAAGCCAGGACAGTAAACAAACATGTCGCCGGTAGTATGGGACTATTTCAAAGTTTCAGAGTTAGATAGTTCGCTTGCTATTTGTATTAACAAATGCAGAAGTTCCACGAGGAGGAAAAAGGCAACGAGCTATAATACTTCCAACCTGATTAGTCACCTGAAACATCGCCATCGCTACGATGGTGTATTAAAAGCGTACGAAGACGCCTGCGCTGCTAAACTAGCGGCGAATCCAAAGCCAGCTGCAAAGGCACCGGGGCTTTTACCTATCGACGAGGCTTTTGAAAAAGGCAAGAACTTTATTTGGGAAAATAAATATGGTCACTTTGAAGAGTCAAAATGTTCTTTGTTTTGTTCATAGTAGTAATGCTCATGTCATTTGCTCACTACTAGTCTCTGTTTTACCGCCAGGTGTGCAAAAACTACAGGTACATTTAATATATATATATTATTATTATCGGTTATCGGTATCGGTCTTGAGAAGCAGGAAGTTATCGGTATCGGTTTCAAAAAACCAATATCGTGCATCCCTACTATCAACACCTCTAACCCCCACCTTTCAAAAAGCGAACAAAGCTGATCACTGTTCTTTTAATTTCCACTTGGCATCTCCTTAGCCTTTGATGCACAGCTTCATTAAAACAGAGATGCAGGTGAACTCCAACTGTCACGACAAGTGTTGGCTTCTTCCATTTTGCCAATGATGTTTGGGAGATACATTAGGAAATGTTTTGACCCAGGGTGCACAGCTCAATCCTTTCATTATGTGTTTCTGTTTATTAAGAGTCATTACATGAATCTCTCTTTTGCCATGAGATTAAGAAAAGTACTCCCAAGTGAGTCAGAACAGCAGCATGAAAAACGAGTGGGAAGTAGACAGACCACCCTGCACACCTTCTTAAAGGGGATGCAAGTGTATTGGTTCAACTAGATTAGAGTTATACAACAGGCTTAAAACTGGCAAGCAAAATCTCTTATCCTGATGCAGAGAAAGAAAAGAGGCGAGGAAACGACCTGGAACGAACTGCCCTTGCTAATCAACAGGCTCCCACACTGTCTGTTTTTAAATCCCGTCTATTCTGGTTTGTTTTGTGTTCGTATCTTTTATGTGATTTTATACTTATTTGTATGTTTTGTGAGCCGAGCGATTTTATATTTGATGTATCTCTCTGTACAGCACTTTGGTCTGGAGGTTTTAAAGTGCTATATAAATAAAGTTGGATTGGATTGGAAAGCACAAGAGGGCGGTTAAAACATTAAGAGGAGGAAGAGGAAAACGACACCTCAACATCCTTCAGTAAAAGTGGACCCGTGCATTTGACAGCGAGAAGTGTGCGTTTGTGTGTACGTGTCTCCCGACCTTTTCCTAGAGCAGGTTAACAAGTGTGTTGGCTCTCTCTGCCTGCTGCAGCAGTACACAGGTCTATTTATAAGCCTCCAGTTCAAATAGCAACCACTCGGGTCACTAGCCAATATGATAAGAGAACAAACAAACCAGTGTGTGGCCAGTAGGCAAGTTTGCAGATGCAATGAAGCTTGCATCTGTTACAGGTTTGAGCGTGTGTGTCAGACTTTATTGATTCTAACACTCTGCATGGTTTGTTTATTGTAGTAACCGTATAGCAACAACACAACATCTGCCAAATATTGCAATTCAAGCAAGGGGGAAAGGTTACTTTGAGACACATAAAACCCTACGGACCCAAACTCCACCTTTGTTAACTCACAGATCCCTAGCTATCCCGGGCACAGCGCCAGCATTTCAACATGAGGCCTGCCAGAAGCTGCTGAGCTACCCTCTGGACCCAATCAAAAAACAAACGGGACAATGATATGATCATCATTATAAAACTTGCTTCCCAAAGAAACTGTCTCAAAAGTATTTCATAGCAGAAGCCGCATCCAAAAACACAAACCAGCGTCAGGAAGGAGAAGAAGGAGATTTGAGCTGAAGCCTCCGGCAGCGCTGGAAAGGGCAAGCCCATTCCAGTTAACGGAGCTGTTTACATACACAGACTCAACCTTCCTACATGGAAAGACTTCTGTCAAGCCCAAAGCATTACATTCAAAGAGGCTACACAGAGAAGTACCGCCTGTCCTTACAAGGCAGTGTAAAGCAAAATAAAGTAGAAAGACACTTCACTAGCGGCATTACTCATCATGCACTTAACGGTGGTACAAATAGTCACTTTTCAGACTGCAATCAAACATTTCCATTAATCAAAATACAAGCCTACGTCTACAAAGTATTGTTTACAAGAGCTGGCTTGCATTTTTACGCATTTCTGTGGTGCAAAATGACCGATGAACCTCGATTACAACACCATTATTAATGTATGCAAATGCGGCTTAACCCGACTGAGTATAGGCGTGTTCTTTGCCCGGTACAGAGTACAGTTTGTTCCTCGTCCCCCCCCCGTGTTCCCATCTGAGAACAGCTTTCGTGAGGGCCCCTGGAGTTGGCAGCGGCCCGACTGCTGCTATCATCTTACAGACAGAGCGGGTTGAGAGAGGAGGGGGGAGGAGAGGGAATACGGGGACATGACACAAACAGAGAGTGTGTCTAACGGGGGAGAGAGAAAGAGGAAACGTGAATAAGCTAATGGCAAAAAAGCAACAAATGTAAATGTGAGAAGAGAGGAATGTGAAAAAGGGAGGGACGAGGAGAGAAAGCCTGTCGCTGAGGTTGATGTGAGGAATGCAGCTGCAGCTTCTAACGTGTATAAAAAGGAAAGAGGTCAACTTCCTGCAGTCAGCACATGCACCCAGTAGAATGTGTGCTCCTGGCCTATGAGCTGGAGAGCGGAAATGATCCATAGAATGAACCGATAAACGTTTTTGGCCTTGTTTTCCACCTCACCTGTTACATAAACTGACCGAGAGTAGGAGTATAACAGAGGTGGATCTAAAAAAAATCTGAATCGACATGAAAGGCTGATGGAAACCAAAGAAAATAGGTGTTTTATAGGTTTTCGGCTAGCTATTTGAGATACTTTAGTACTGAGGGAACTTTCTGTACCACTAAAAACAGGTTGACTAAGAACATTCAAAAAGGTACAAACTGTTTTATGTTGGATTCAAATCGAGATACGTTTTGAGTTCATAGGTAGCTTGTTTTGCCTGATCTGTATTGTTTAGAAAGTGACGCCAAACACTTACCTACATACACAGCGAGGGTGAGCTAATGGACAAACAATGCATGCCAAAAAAAGCTGTTTGACCTGACATCCAAAAAACACCCTCCCGTCTACTGAACATTGCTTTAAGCTGACGGCATTTTCCCCGTGTGCTTCTGCTGCCATGCAACTGCAAAATCTATTTGAGGCACGGTGCTTTGTTGCCAAAAGATGACGTATTTTTAACACCATTTGCATGCCGGTAAAACACATCCGGCTCTCAGCAACAAACGAAATGAAAGAGTGGGCTGTATCAGAGTATAAACAGATTGGCTTTACAGCAAGTGTTGGCATAAAAGTGATTTGTCTTCCTCCACCTCCATAGCACTGTGTTTAAATATCTGCTCTGACAAAAGCACATTGTCAAACATTCCTCCTACATGTTTAAGTTTCAGGGTTTACATTGCTGCTTCTGTCCTGGAAACACCATCATATCAATACACAGTGCAATATTAAAGATAAAGTCTGGTGGAGTTGTTGTGGTAACCCATCCAGAATATATAGTGTGAGCTGCACTGAACCAGTGAAAGAGCTTTCTTAAGGGAATACCCTGTTGTTATGACAACATTCCTAAACACTCCCAATTCCACCGGGCTTGTCCGAGCAGGATGACAGCAGCCACAGAAGCACATGCCAAGTGTCTCTCTGAAATATGCAAAACCCTCTTTTGAATCAATAGTTAAGCGTAAAGGGAACTCGGAAGCAAAGAGTTTCCTGCTTCAACTTCGATCAATAAGGATTTAAAGGTACATAAATCGCATCATTTTCAAAACATGTAGTCAATGAGATTACATTCCCAGCGTGTGTGAGAAACTTTTATCGAATTTGTGTGTGGCTGCAGATAAGTCACACAGCCTCTTCCAGGGTTCTTTGGGAGGGGTTTTAGAGGAGCAACCACACACAACAAACCAAGAGCCATGTACGCAAAAGGCACAAGCTCCGGGTGTTGCGTGTGACTCATTCCCTGGTGTCTCCATTATTCAGTCATCCATTTGACTTCACAGTCCCACCCACACCCAGGTTGCCACCAGGCAGGCAAGGGTTGAAATCAATTATAATAGGAGTGTAGGTTGGTGCCTTTCTAGTTGCTGGTGTAGCAATGAGTGGATGGCATTTTGTAGGAGTAGAGCATGCTTTGTTTAATAATAGGGCTGCACAATGAATTTCTTTGAAAATGGATTGTAATATATGGACTAGTGCCATTCCCAAATCGCAGTCATATTTGGTCATTGAAAAATATGTAAAAATATCTGAATAAACTATTGGGCTCCTTGCCTACAAACGGTACACTTTGTACAACACAAAAACAAATATAATTGTTTTTGTGTGGTATATGTTCATGTGAATAATGTTTAATAAAGTCATCATCCTCTCCAATATGGAAACTTATTTCACAGTCTCAAATTCAGTCAAATATAATTAGCCAAAGAAAAACCTCACATTTGAAAAGCTACAATAGAAAGACAATCAAACATATGTATGCTCAAGAGCTGCTGACAACTGGGAGCAAATCAGCATATAGACTGCAGCTATAGTAAAGACACTGTTGAGTACAGACACTGAGTCTTTCAGAGGTACAATGATAACACTTGTGAGGAGGGGGGGAGGAGCCTTCGCGATGATAAATGTCTGTGCCAGTTCACAGTTTGGTACTACTGCGACTTAAACTCTGAACTACTTCTCTGTTTGTAATCCAACAATACAGTAAGAGGGTGAGACTATAGACACAGCAGGACGAGGGCGGAGGAGTGAAAACAAAAACGAGAGAGAGCAACATAAAGACACGTTCAAGGTCAGAGATAGACGCTATCAGAGTTCCTACCTACACTACCCTAGTACTTGCAGCTGTAACATTAGTAGTCTAGTACAAACCGGACTCAATGGAAACTACAAATCGAATGGAAAACACCATTAGGTCACATGGCAAAGCACACCAGCAGCATCGTAAGAGAAAAGCACACGGCACTTCGGGAACAACAAGAGACGGGACCATGCAAGGAAGAAAAAGTATTGGAAAAATAAACATTTAAATATTTTGAAACATGTCAAGGTCTCTTGGCTGCAATGAATAAGCAGTCAAAATAAATAAAAATACGAGTTTACGTCTTGAGCCAAGCAGTTTTTGGAAGTCTTTTGGGAGTTTTATACGGAGCCAAATTGTATCATGTGTTGCCAGAAATGTGTCTCTACAGAAAACTGCAGCACGGATGGTCGTGAAAATATCTTTACCAAGAGAAAGTTCTGAAGACGTGCAATATTAATACCCGCCTTGCTTCGTGGGCAGACTTGCATGTGGTGTTTAGAGAAAAGGGCCTAATGAAAACGGAGTACCAGACTTTTGAGTTTTAGAAGCAGATTGCTCAATTTAGATACAAAGTTGAAAGGAAGTTGCCGTCCTGAAAAGAGCGGATTATAAGACTACGAATCCTCCCAGACAATAACTACGTGATCTACTTTCACGCACTAGAACACACACACACACAGCGCCTGAGAAGCCCTGAACTCTCACCTTTTGACCAGTCCTTGATCTTCTTATCCTCCGTCCTCGTCACAATCTCCGTCTCTCTCTCTCTTCCATCCACTGTTCTTCCCTCTATGGGTATGTTCCCTGTGAACAGGTAAGAAATACCATGACTGACCGATCTAGGCATTTATTTGTTTATTTATAAAAACAGAGGCATTTGTCGTTTATGAAGCACAAAAACAATGATCACTTCAACTTGAAGACATTCAGCTTGGATTAGCGGACATTTTTGTATCAAATCATATCGGATTAAACCAAAATATATTTAACAACTAATCTAATAAAAACAAACATTGGTTAAATCATCTATTTATATTTCCAGTCTCTGGTGTTTCTACTGCATGGTTCGCCAAAGCTCTCCCTAACTCCCTATTCTTTTAATAGCACCTGGTACTTTTATTTTGAAATACCATTTGAACTCAGGTTCAAAGGGAGCTGAGCCAACACTAAGAGCAAACGTTAAAACACTGCTGACCACTGATGAGTCAATGAGCATGGTAACACATTTATTGCACTTTTAAATAGACAAGAAACGTCAAAAGCATTGCATTTTACTACAAACTTGGCCATACACTTCCTGTTTGGTCTCCAATGTGACACCATTTCAAGCAGCGTCACTACAGCCAATAGAATAGGGGAAAAAGGAATAGAGTACCAAAAGTGAGGTGAGCCGTATCATGCAGAGAAAAGAGCATGCTTTTGCTGATATAAGGCCTGGTGACAAAACACCAAGCCTCAATATATAAAATATTGTACTTTACTTTTGGCTGCCATAAAAAATGACCTCCATTTAGTGTGGTATTAGTTTGTAATCAGACTGTGGCTTCTCCCTCGGCGGGTGTAAAGTGTATCTGCGCCGGTCGCAGCGGGTGTGCCATTTAGCCTGCAGGAGAAAGCTGCTGCTAATCCGATAATGGGATTACAGCACCACACTTACCTAAACTATAAACAGAGAGATGTACGGAGACGCTGAACCGGCTCACGGACACCACGGCTGCGCCATTAAATATGTAGTCATCTAGTTCAGTTATATAATTGCACAGTGGCTCATATTCAATATTGAAACAGTGTTGCTATAGCAGCCAACAACAACATCATGATATAGGATTCTGCTTTAAAATGAAAGGTTTAAATGTTCCGAGTATTATCTTCATTAGCAAAGATGTTTCCTATCCTTTTAAAAGGGGACATGTGAAAATGGCATCCCCTATAGAATGCATCAACTCATTACCACCAGTTAAATCTAATGGCAAATGTATCATAAAGCCAGGGGAAAAACGATTGGAAATCACTTAACAGGACACTTACAGTCAGTGATGTGGATCTAAATGCATCGTCCTAGGAACAAATCCATACATCTTACAAACAGCACAGCTGAGCGCAGCCGTGATCAGAGCTGATGCTAAAGCCATGTGTAACCAAAAGACCGTGAACGTGTTTGGGAACCAGTTGGGGACACTGATAAGCTGAGGACTAAGGTGTCTGAAAAAGAACATAGGTATGCGGTTGCTGTCAAAGGCGCATAAGTCAAATAAAAAGAAACAACTACACATCGGGGCTTACAATTCCCTAAGCTAATAAGCGGAAGAATGAGTCCTAAAAGCAGGAGACCAGCCTTTCCATTTCCATCGACTCATACTGAACATTTTGTACGCGGTTTTGCTTGGATTCCTGAAATAAGAAATCATTTGTAATTGTAAAAAGGGAGGTTGTTGACAAGTGACTAAATGACACAGCTAAATGTCCTCACGTGAGAACATTAGCCCCCTTTAGCTTAGCGTGGTGACTGGACTGTGATGTAGTTTGTTTATAGCCTAACGTTAGCTTTTTATTCCTGGCGATTGCAGTTATGCTTCAAAAATCATATAAATGGTGTCAATATGTGGAGATGATCCTGCTGACCAAAACCTGAGAGTAACATAAACAAGTGTTTGTCAAAGATCTTATTTTTTGCTATATTCCAAAATCCCATTGGGAGTCCTTAGCCGCGTTCACACCGAGTACTTTTCACCCGTACTTTTCACATTTAGTTCCGTTAGTACCCCTGATGTCGCGTTCACACCAAAAAAATAACTAAGTGCCGGGAACTTTTCACCCCATTTTTAGCGCCTGCTGAGAGCTGAAAAGGACCACAGTTCTGATTGGCTGGGCAATTGCAAACCACGCCCCGTAAAACTCTGAAATGTTTTGTAGAGCCGCCATTTTATTATCCTCGCATTAGCATTATTAGCATTAGCACAGCGCACCAACGGAGAGAGACTAACAACACAAAATAAAACTCAGAAGGCTTCAGTAGAAGCTGTTGGGACTCCCAGCAGCTTCATCCTAACTCCGGGGACTTCGGGCGGCAGTATACGCCGGGAAGTGGTTTGCGCCCTGCCAGTAAACCCAAAGCAGAAGAAGAAGAAGTGACGTCAGCGGCTTCATTTGCCTAATCCACCCTCAGGGAACTTATTCCGGTGTGAACGCGATCCTAAGTGCTGGGAACTAAGTACAGCAAAGTACTTGGTGTGAACGCGGCTCTTGCGGTGCAAACTTCAGAGTCCGCCTACAGCATCTCTGCACCACTCCATCTGGTCAACAAGTTAATTTACCAGTCTGCCTCATTCGTTATGATCCAACTATAGATGCAAATCCAGTTGCATCCTTACTTTTACCACCACCCTCCCCCCTCAGTTCCCACACTTCCCCCCCCCCCTCTCTCCTTTCTCCAACCATCAAGTGCTCCAGCAGATGGTTCTGGGTTCAACAACAACAGCAGCGCATGGTGGGGGCCCTCCTGGAGTGCACACATACACACTCTACGAAAGCATCTGTTTATGAATGGTCCGACAATTGCCCATCCCCCGACAGCTACAGCTGACTGAGGTGGGGGGGCACCAAGGGGCACCAAGAGTCACCGAAAAGCAAAAGGGATAAAGAAGATCAAGGCAGTGAGAACAGGGGGAGGGAAAGAAAGAGAGAGAAGAGGTAATTGCGTGTTTGATTTATTTTTTTCTTCTATTGACAGGTGGTACAAGAAACTAATAAAAAGAGAAGAAGAATGCCCAACGGCTTATCCAACATCTAATAGTAATTGCATATTAGCCAATAAAAGCAGAATTATATAACCAAATACTTTTTTATGTAAGCGTTTTAGGTCATCTAAAAGGAAGAGGAATATAAAACTCAGTTGTTTAACCTGACCTCAGTCACCTGAGATATGATAAAGGTGGTAACCATGTGTTTTCTGTTGTTAAACCTTTTATATTTGCTAATGAAAAACGACAGTAAATCTCGCCTGTAATGCAACTGCCTTCCCTGTTTAACTGAATGGCCAGGTCCTTCCTGCCTACAGCAGTCAGACTGTATAAAATATGCAAGTCTACTCATGTTACTGTACTTTTGCTGTTGTAATGCCGTATTTGTCCTCGTGGCTGGACAAATAAAGGATTTCTGATTCTGAAATAGTTAGACAAACATTATTCAGTCAGTTTAGCATCTACAAAACTGCGGGAAAATAAGATTTTAACATTATAATCGATTATGAAACATGCATTTTATAAAAACAAAAATATGTGTTAGTAGCTGCCTTGAATGGTACTGTACTGTTGACCAATAGACAAAACTAATCCATCTTTAAAAAGTAACTTTTATTGTGTTGACCTAATTTAACATGGAATACGGCAGCCATTTTTAACACTACGTACAAAATCACCAGACTGATGATACGGTCGCTTTCCAAAAATATCCTATCTCTAAATATGGTCTTTGTTGTGTTTAAAGTAGGGCTGCTCGATTATGGCAAAAATCATAATCTCGATTATTTTTGGCCAATATCACGATTGTTAAAAATACGTTACTTTGAAAACATTCATTTATTGAAAAATGAAAACAGTTGATTACACAGAACTTTAAGTATAATTCAACTGAAAAACCAATACAAAATAATCGTTTTATTTCGATGTTTTCATAATCGTTGCAAGCCAAAATCGTAATTGCGATTAAAATAGGATTAATTGAGCAGCCCTAGTTTAAAGTAGATAAAATAACACCGTGGAGACCTGATTCCACTATTAAGAACCTACTTTTGGGTTTTTCCATCTAACGCAGAGAGGCGGGCTGAGAGGGATACAAAGCAGCAGACGGATGAAAGGTCAGGGAAAATAGTTTAAAAAGAGCATTTCTCTCTTTGTCGATTAGCTTTAGAGTGTCGGCTACATTCAGTAAAAGCTACTTCTTTCCAATGTCTTGTGAGATTCAGTGTAGCACAGATTTTGATGCCACCCACTTGCCTCTCCTGTGAACCTTTTTTCCCGAGGGCTGTCAGGTAAAGCTATATTTGGGTTTGTGAAGAGGTAGAGATCAACAAGCTTTAGACTCCTGCATGCTGAGACCCTGTGGGAGTGTTTTGAACTCCCTGAAGTGAGTCATGCAAGAGACGGTGTATTGATTGCATTCGTAGCCTTTTGGAGGCAGTCGTTTTCAGACACCCCAGACATAAACACACACAGATTGACATGTGCATCCACAAAAACACTCACTGGAGTTCGTCTGTTCCGGCAAAACAAAAGCCAGAGGGTAGTCGCGTGGCTAATTTACATTTATATCACCACATCATTAGCATTCATTTGAATGAGCATGTTCTCACGGAGGCTGAACTCCAGAGGCTCGGTTCAGGAAAACCATCAGTCAATTAGTGAATGACAATAAGTCTCTCAAATCTTAAATAGCCCAACAGCGAGGGCTTTGCGGGGCTCACGTTGCAATATGTGACATGTCCAGCCTGGCTGCATTCATACTCACAAATCATGGTAACTCCAGAAAGGCAAAATGATATTACTGGCTTTAAAAAAAAGAAGCCTTTTAACTTGACTGCTAGCAAAGGACGGTTAGGCAAGTGTGAAAAGAATACATATAAGAAAATAAAACTTCAATTGAAAATTGTATAAAGAGAATTTATAATGGTTTATAAGGAGGAAAATATAAAGTTAATTTTAAAGTAGGTGACTGCATAAAGTGTATATACTAGTGGTGCACGATAATTATCGGTCCGATATTAGGAATTATGACGTCATCCCGGTAAACCCGATAACAGTATTAATAGCCCCGATAATATACAATATATTTTTTGGGTAAAAAAAAGAAAAGAATACTGCGGTGTGGGTGGATTGGGATGAGGGGCGCTTGTTTTTCACTCGGCTCCTCCCGTTTTGCCAGTACTGTGGTATTAGTGGTTTAGGAAGAGGGGAGTTCTTCACAAATCCAGCGCTCCCTAACTCATGCCTGGCTGTGACGTAAATGGTGTGCGGCCGTGAAGCCAGGACAGTAAACAAACATGTCGCCGGTAGTATGGGACTATTTCAAAGTTTGAGAGTTAGATAGTTCGCTTGCTATTTGTATTAACAAATGCAGAAGTTCCACGAGGAGGGAAAAAGGCAACGAGCTATAATACTTCCAACCTGATTAGTCACCTGAAACATCGCCATCGCTACGATGGTGTATTAAAAGCGTACGAAGACGCCTGCGCTGCTAAACTAGCGGCGAATCCAAAGCCAGCTGCAAAGGCACCGGGGCTTTTACCGATCGACGAGGCTTTTGAAAAAGGCAAGAAGTTTGCCAGAGACGACCCCAGGGCTAAAACGATCTCTAACTTCATCATAGAAATGATGGCGCTTGACGAGAGTCCAAACTGTTCTTGGCTTTGTTTTGTTCATAGTAGTAATGCTCATGTCATTGGCTCACTACTAGTCTTTTTTTTACCACCAGGTGTGCAAAAACTACAGGTACATTTAATATATATTATATTATTATCGGTTATCGGTATCGGTCTTGAGACGCAGGAAGTTATCGGTATCGGTTTCAAAAAACCAATATCGTGCATCCCTAGTATATACTATAATAACAAACTGTTCAGAATATTTTAGAGCTTAAAGGTAGGGTAGGTAAGTTTGAGAAACCGGCTCGAGATACACTTTTTGTTATATTCCATGGAATGCTCTTAACATCCCGATAGCAATGAATATCTGAAGTGCTTTGACAAAAAATCCATTAAAAAAAAATATCGTCTGTGGAAGCCGTAGCGCTGTAAAAAGCACGACCAATCATTTTAGCCGGCCCGGCTAAAGTAACTGGATGGCCTACCTGCCTGTCAGCCTTCCATCGGGGCACAAACTGATCTCGTGCCCTCATTGGTCATGTGCGCGTTCGTGTGTGTTGGAGGAGGGGCTCTGTGAGGAAGTGGCAGATTTTCTCCGGTTGTGTATTTTCAAATTCTAGTGCACTCGAGCTGCTTTCTCAAACTTACCTACCCCACCTTTAAATACTAAATTATAAAATTGAAATTTAAGTCAAGTTATGTTTATATCAATATATTAACAGTCTTATTAAAACTTCTTACTTAAAAAAAAGAATTTGTGTTCCATCTTATTTTATTCTTAAATGGTGTGACGGTCATGAATAAATCAAGTTGGCTGTTCCTGAATCTGACAGATTCAATCCCCAAAGCCAAACCCACCATTTACCACCATCATCAGTAAAGGCTTGCTAAACTACATTTTGGGAGTACTACATCTTGTCTGAGCCTGCAAAAGTCAACAGTTACAAGCACTCCTGTTCTTCCGCCTGTTACTGTCTCATGACCCTCTGCAGGTGTGGCTTTACTGATCCGAGGGGCAAAGGTCAACTACCTGATCTTCAACCAAAGTAGCAATGTTGCAACGCCTCAGGAATCTATAGCACTGCAGTATTAAATTCCAAACACATCTCAAGTCGGCTATTTCAGCAGAGTCATTTTATACATTGCTTTAGCTTTCAGCGTGACATAAACCAGTTGTGATATTTATAGACAAGAATGAAAACATGGTGAGCAGGCGGTAATTTGGAGAGCCAAAGTGAAAAGTGAAGCCTCACAGCACATCGCTCTCAAACCAGAAAGGTTTTCATTGTTATGATTACTAATTGACCTCAAGCAATAAACTGGATCTGCAAGTATCTGCGAGCAAGCTAGATGGTGAGTCTGTGTCACGAAACTGAGTCACCGTTGAGCTTTGCTTATGTATACCTTTAGGGCTTCTGAATACGTCAAACAGTTATTCAGTTTTTGCCACGAGGTAAGTAATCCCCACTGCTGCAACAAATGCTACTTTAAGATACTGTGGTTTGCTTTTATAAAGCATCCAGCTAATTATATTTGTAAACGTTGGAACAGGACGCCTTTCAAACATGAAAGTGAAACCACTTTCCAAAAGCTAAAAATTGCAACGGCAGCCGGTTATTTATGGAACAAAACTGAGAGTTTCTGTTGAGATTTGGGTGTATAATAAACCGCTATTGGAAAAAGTGTTTGATTGCGGGAAACTTAGAAATGTTAGAGTGGAAAGTGATTTTGTTTTATAAATGATTTATTAAACGTTAAATAATGTACCACTGTCCGTCAGAAAATGCAATAGAACTGCATATTAAACTTGAATTGTGAACAAAAACCACATCGGAAAAAATGAGCCTACTAAAAAACCGTACAACGCAATTCCCTCACCTTGAACCACAACAAATACATTGCAGATGACGTACCAGGAACTGGACTAAACCAACATTAAAAACAAAACCGTTGACATTTGAACCTTTCTCCTTTGGACAACATCCTGAATGCAGGCAACAACAACATACACTTTGGAGAGGTAAAGAAGGTGAGTTGTTGCACTTGCTCTTAGGTACACAAATGTAAAAACTCTATAGAATATAAACAGATTCAGGATCTAAAAACAGATTAGACGCAGCCCCTGAAGCGGGTTGCTGAACTAGTTGTGGTCCACGGCTCTATTGTGTGCCTGCAACTCACTGTATGGACACAATGAGCTGCACAAACACCTCTCCGCACACAAAACATCAGGACTCCGGCTTCTCATTTAGCAATTTTAAAACAGCAAAGCTTACTCAGCACAATGCGGCCTAGACTAACCTAGACCCTCCAATTCAATTCAAACGGAACTGCATGTGCTTGCATAAGCAGCAGCTGCCCATCCCCTGTCCCCCTCACAAACACGTACATACGCACACACACACCTTTAGTATCCCAACACACAGAGAGCATGCCATCATATAAAGCAAAGCTGCTCCAAAAGGTGATATAAATAAATGAACACATCAATGTGAAGATTGACACTCACCTGTAATGATGCTTTAGCTTCTTTGGTGGCAACAGCTTTCAATTCCGAATCTCTGAAAGACAAAGATTTGAAGGTTAATCTTTCAGCTATAAATCAAGATTTACCTGAACACACACACGTTAACAAATAAAAGATAGTTTGCATGTGGGCACCTCACACTTGTATTGGTGTACTGTGATTAAACAACACGTTGTAAAAAAATAAAAACTACTACATATCATTTTAGGCGCTTACCCAAACAGATGCTAAACCTGGCATAGTAAACTGGACTCTATTAAAATGTCACAGATTAATTATTGATGGGAATACGGCATTACAACAGCAAAAGTACAGTAACATGAGTAGACTTGCATATTTTATACAGTCTGACTGCTGTAGGCAGGAAGGACCTGGCCATTCAGTTAAACAGGGAAGGCAGTTGCATTACAGGCGAGATTTACTGTCGTTTTTCATTAGCAAATATAAAGGTTTAACAACAGAAAACACATGGTTACCTCCTTTATCATATCTCAGGTGACTGAGGTCAGGTTAAACAACTGAGTTTTATATTCCTCTTCCTTTTAGATGACCTAAATGTAGCGCAATGCACCTCACTCACAAAGTATGCAAGGACAAGTACACACAAACAGAGACTCGTCAGTACTGTATTGAAAGTATTTCAACTTGTTGATGTGGAAATGCAGGCTGAACTGCATAACAGAGTAATGCACAACCAAAGTCCCCTTTAGCTCAGGCTCCACAAGGTGAATATTGTGTGTGTTGGTATTTCAGTGGTGAAATGTAACAAAGCACATTTATGCAAATACTATACTTAAGTAAAAAATGTATGCACTTGTACTTTACTTGAGTGTTTTTACATTATGCTACTTTTTACTTCACTACATTTTCTAGGCAAATATTGTACCCGTTACTCCACTACATTTATTTTACATATTTAGTTACTAGGTTATCGATACAAAATATAAATCAACACATTGTTATTATAGGTTAAGCTACCCAGTAGCGTATAAAGTAATTCAAATAGAACAATATAATGTAAATGATATGGTGCTTGAAATGGCCATTTTGCATAACGCATACTTTAAAGTATTTTTATGCTAATACTTATTTTGAATGCAGGACTTTTACTTGTACCCGAGCCTTTTTACACTGCAGCATTGTTACTTTTACTTCATAATCTGAGTACTTCTTCCACCTCTGATGAAAATTACAGATAAAGTGAGTGTTTGTGGGTCAGAGTTACCGGGTGCTGATCGGCCATTATCTCAGCTGTTGCCTGACTTGCAGCTTAACCAACATGGCTTCTCTCGAGCTGGTGTTTTTCCAGCTCAGCCAAGACCAACAATGCATCAACATGGCATCTAATTACAGTCGATGCAATTAAATTATTAAGTGCTTTAGTTGTTTTTGCAACGTCGTCAAGCTGGTGTAAAAAGTTAGGTGACTGCAAAACTAGCAGAGCGGAGGTCTGGTGTTGACTAACCAGCTGCTCTGTGTTTCTGCCGATAGAGGGTGTTAAACACGAAACACAACTCTGCAGCTTTACAATTGTATCATAAATTGTATTTAATGTTATCATTTACCGCCAACTGTTAAATGTATTGTGATATTTGAGTAACGGTGCCTCGTATGCAAGTCACCAAACAGCGGTTAAATCCGTCACTTTCACCAACGGGCAACCTGCGTCGTCAAATTAGCATGACTGCTAATGCTAGCTACAAGAGCTAACGTTACGAAGCGGCTAGTTAACGTACCCTTTCCCCCCCAATGTAGCGCAATTATGATATTCTAATAAACGCAATGTTACATTAAACCCATAAGCAATATTAGGTTACTTATGAACCCATTTGTAGACACGTTAGTATCGAACGAAATACATATGTTCTCTCTTTGACAGATATGTGCGCACAACCGGCGAGCTAAGGTTAACCAACGCTCGTACTAGTTAGCGTTAGCATTAGCATGAAGCTAACCTGCCCACAAATACAACGGTCTGTTTGTCCCAGACGACAGGCAAACAAACACTTATCCTGGCGTATCAGCGGATGTGCCTACCATTTAAGTTTCCAAGCTGCAATGCAACCCGAACAGGAGGCCAGCTATGCTAACTGCACAGGAGGCTAGCTACGTAGCTTAGCCCAGTCATGGCTAACCAAACAACAGCGGCAGATCAACCACCAGTCCCCGGTCTCCCTGCTCAGGGCACTCTGCGTACATTTGCTCGCCACAAAGAAAAATGAGGTCGTCTGGTCAAGGAAACATCGTCAAAAGAACCTTACCTCATTGAAGTATAAAGTGCAACCGAGTGGAAAGGAAAGCCGGCTGTAAGGCTAAAAGAATTTCAACGCTTTTTGCAGCATCTACGAGGGTAGGCATTCGTCCTGCATGATCGCCATTTTCTTAACTCGCTGCTGGCTAACCTTCTTTCGATTGAGCTCTGCTTTCCCCTCCTCTCTCTCTCTCTTCTCTCTCTCTCTCTCTCTCTCTCTCTGACTGATTCTGGAGGGGGGAGCAGGAAACACACTCACCACTTCCTCTGACTGAGAAAACCAAACACAGCAGAAGGTAGGTAAATTGTATCGACAGAAGAGTAAAAGTGTGTAAAGCCAAGCATGTCAGCAATGTTTAAGGTAAGCAGTCCCTTCGAATTGATTAACCAATTAGAAATGTTATCATATCATGTTATCATGTCATCACACCTAAAACCATAAACACTTAAACGTATTTTATTTATGTTATTATTTTTAATTTAACATTGAAGTATTCCATCAGATTTTTTTAAACAAGGGATAAACTATGTGAACAAAATATGATAACCATAAATCATCTTCCATTAGGCCTATACAGGATAGGTATCTGACTGGCACATTTTAGATATACTCTTCCAAGGCCATAGTCAGAGCTTTTTATAAAATTAGGGCCCTAAAACCCTCATATCAAGAAACTAATCAAAAAGTACAAAATGTCCTAAATGATTCCAACAATTGTTTATTATACTTGTTGTACATATTAATTCATAACCTGATTTTAAACTGCCATGAATACAATGAAGAGACTGGTAAACGTATTCTTTGATTCATTTTAAAGTAGTTAAATGTAAACATATTGAGTCTGAAATACTGGATTACCCACAGTTAATTGTTTAATTAGATACAGACCTAGTGTATAGTCGATATTAAAAATAATGATCTGAAGTGAAACCATTGCAATGTACTTTTGTTTCAGAAATTATTCTAGGATAAACTCAAAAATGATATTGCAATGTTACTTAAACATCAAAATGTGTGTTACGTTGCATGATTTAAAAAACAAGAATTCATATTACAATATTAAAGTTTCTAACACTGGCCTATTATAAAGCCAGTTAAGTTGCCATATATCTTATCATTAAGTTTAAAAAAGCTTTGTACAAATGGCCAGCTGTTGGTTCTGTCTTCTTGGGATGTCTACTTGTTGACTGACTCAATTTTATTTCTACTCTGTGATTATTGTCATGTGGCAGTTCATTTAGTTGTACAGTAAAAAGTCCCACAGTGAGTCATTTGAGAAACATTTAGCTGATGTCATAGCCAATGGCCTAAACAAAATAGTATGGTGATGATGTGGTCGTATTGGACATATTTTAAATCATGTTTCTAGGTTTGCAGTGTTTAACATGATTTATTATCCTATTTTGTATATGTTTACCAGAAAAAAAAAGGGCCATGAATATTACGTTTTGCTCCTCTTAACATACATCAATAACTTGTAACAAAACATTTAAGCATTCTTAGGAGTGTAAAAAAAAGACGGTCAGATATTCAACAAATATAAACTATACGAAGAAGAACTATATTTATCATTGGTAAATCCAGAGCATAGCTTTTATTATTTTTGTCCTGGGACACAGGCTTTCTGTCCGAGGGTTCAAAGTCCAACCCCCACTTCAACATACATTAGCTGCTGAAGTGTCCTTGAGCACAACAATGGATAACTAGTGTTGGTCTGTGATGTATCTTACCTCTGATCTCCCTGAGGAGGAATCAAGTAAAATAAAAACATCCTAGGCAGTTTTATAATGAATCTCATTGTAGTGTGCCGGTTGTGAAAAGCACGAGGGCTCTAGCTTAATCATCCATTGGGCAGCGTTGCCAACACATGCGGGAAAACACCTGGAAATGTATGGTTTTAGTAGGAATGCTCTGCTTTGACATTAGGAATTTTCCTAAACATGACAAAAACTGCAATTATGTTCACCAATTCAACAATGATAAATTGACGCAAATGAATAAAACATGCATCTTGGCTGTTAACCCTAATTTACAAAAAGAAGTTTTACTTCTTAAAAAATGCAGGTCAATTGAGATGAATGCACCAGCCTTTACAATGGTGTGGCTTATTTGAAGCCAATGCACTTGCCGGTTTCTCTGAATTTGTATCTTCATGGTTAATTGCAATCATTGTTAGTGGATAAAATAGTCTACTTAAGAAATGTCATTTCATATAAAAACTCACATGACTTGATCATATACTATCACACACACATTTTATTATAACTTTAAATGGATCACGTGCTACATTTTTGATAGCTAGCATGTTTTGTTTCTTACAAAATCACAATCATTTTTATGGTTTTTGTCATTAAAATGTAAGGTTTGTAATGTATATCATAACAGAAGGGGGACTACCACTGACACAAGTACTATCTCCCATAACACTTCAGGTAAAACAACTTTCAATAAAATGTTTATAAAAGCGACAAACAGAGAAAAGAGAGGAGAGATTCCCAAACAGCAGAGAAACAAATACAGTGGGGAATCTGCCAACTGCAACGTTTCACCAACGAGACAAAGGCGGTTGCTGCTTACAGAAGAGACCGGCAATACGTGCATTCAAAGCAGTGACCATTGACCCACCAATGGAAAAAACAACCTCCTTCCTTGCGCAGAAATTACCTCTCTTATCTGTGTATATTTGACTGTGAGGGAAAGAGAGGTAGAGTTCATCTACTGCCAAGTAATGATTTTAGCCGGTATCAAGGAGATTCGATTTTAAAGCATGTAAACAAGTCGGTTACCTCTCAGTACTGAGGGATTGTATCCAAATGCTACTCAAATGTGGATTTCACAATATAATCCTACATTCTTAAGATATACTTGACGTTAAAATGGATAAATATTGAATTGATTGTACCTTCGATTTGTACGTCCAACATTTAAAAATGTTATCCAATTACATTTGAATTGCCGGATTTAAACTCACTCACATGTACGTTGATTTTATGTACAATTTATACAAATTATCATGTCAGTGTTCACTTGTAACAATATAGAATATTCTGTATCTCTCACTGAAGATCCCATAATTCAACTGTAAAGCTAGATTGCAAGGAAAGCATGCAACACTACAGGACACACTGACATGCAAGCCGATAGTTTGGAGCACTCTGACACATAAATACAAACAAACTTCAGGGTTCACTTTTTCCAACATGGACACGACATCTGTTGTATTGAGACACATTTATTTAAGTCCAGGATTCTCTCCCTGCATCATGCACCTTGCCAGTGGGTCAAGTTGTGCAAGAGCTTCAACTCAAAGTTCGCTGAGGTTAATGGTTAGGTCAACTACAGTATACAAAAGACCCAGGAGTTTGCCTGGCTCGCTCAGTGAGTGTCCACTCATGCATCACAATATACGGAGGCAAACTAGCGTTAGATTAGGCTGGTCGAGCGTAACAAAACAGAAAAGTCCAGAGACAGCCAGCGTAAAAACCTGCACAAAGCAAGACAGAGAAGAATAGAACAGAACAGAATAGAGCAAAACAGCTCTGCTACAGAATGAGGTCACCAGCACCAGTAAAACAATGTGAGTTTGTACATGTTAAAGGTCCCCTATTATACTGTTTTTCATCAATATATTATAGGTCTCAGATACAAAACCTGTCTCTGAAGGGTTTGGCTAGAAATAGCAAACAGATCATGCATTGCAGCATTACCCATAATCCCCTCTGTTTCAGCCCTGTTTCAAAAGTGCTGATTCTCTGTCTGTTACTTTAGATGAAAATAAGGAGCCACTCCCCACATCCCTCAGATACCTCATTCACACCAACGGTGTTTCAGGGCCGGTTCGGAGCTGGAGCTTGAAAAGCACCGGGTTTTCCTGTTCACACCGACGGAATCCGGTTCGTTTCAAGCACCAAAAAATTGTCCGGCTAGAGCAAAAGCACCGCATACGTCACGCTTACGTCGAGGCGGGGGCAAGGGGAATCGGAATCACCGTTGAAGTTGATGATTACGATTGTTAAGCAGTTTTGAATGTAGCATGTAACGACTGTAAAGTTGGTAGTAAAGTCGACTCATTTCTTCCATTTCGTTTCGACAGAGCAAAACCAAAACGAATAGCGCTTCAACACAATCGTCCATTGTTGTTCATGTCGGTGTGAGCTGTGAGGGGTTTCCGCGCGGTTTGGCTTTATGAAGCAGGTACGCAAACGGTTACGTCATGACGCAAACGATGACGTAATGACGCAGCACCAGTCGGACTCTGGGTGGTGTGAAAAGAGCCGGAGCTAAACCGAAAAACCGGTTCTGAACCTGAAAAGCTCTAGCACGGAGCTTGAACCGGAGTTGCGTTGGTGTGAATGAGGTATGAGAGATATTTGGATTTTTAAAAAAAACACAATGGTGCTCTAGGAGGAGATTGAGGTGATAAGGTGGGGGGGGGGGGGTTACCTTGGTTGGTGATTGGCTAATGGTTACACAAGCCAAAAAAACGTTATGACATCATAAAGTGGCCAAAATCTGATCAGCTCATTTTCAGACAGGTTTAAAACTTTTTATATAAATGGATCAGGACAAAAAGAGAGAGAATCTTTTTTCCTGAAACGTTCAGAATCTCTTTACACAGAGGGGACACATGTTGATGTAGAAGAGACAGGAACAAGAAGATTTTGCATAATATGTGACCTTTAAGTAACATAAAGAGTACAAAAACTATATTTTCAGCTTCTGCTCCTTTTTCTTAAATGGGCCTAGAAACCCATACCCGATAGTAACCGAGATGTTTGTGTTTTCGAAAGGGCAGATAACGGTTTGGCTGCTTGTCAAATGAATGATGAATCAACAATTATGAAACCAAGCTAAGTGTAAACATGATTTACTGGGAGAAGCGCAAGTCAAAACCTTATAGTCAGTCACCTTGTTAGTCAGAGCAGTGTAAACACAAACAGGCCAAGGTTAGACCATTCAAACACAGAAGTTCAAATGAAGGAAATGGACGCTGGTTACTTGGGAAAACAAATGCATACAGGTACACATGTGTCCCTATTTAATGACTGAGCAGTGGCTGTGCTAAAGTTATACAATTGCGTATTTGTGTAAACACTTTCCACAACCGCCTCAACACATTCACGAAGGCACACACAACTTTTTTAATGTCAATGTTTTAATGTCCCTCTTTTTGCTTGTTTAGTGGGTTTGGCTCAACACAGTTTCACACTCAAACGTGC